TTCTCACATATTCGAGGGACTCCGTCAACGTAGTCTGAGAGTCCTCAACACTGTACGCTTCGATGGTCGCTTCCTATTGCGTGAGGCCGGGTTAATAACGATGGTTATACGCAAGTGCTCCGGCGAAGATCACAAATAGAAGAACAGCCTCTTCTCTACCACTTGATGTATGGTAATTGATACACACCGATTTATATCGGGCAATGAGCTCAGAGGGGATAGACGTTAAAACTGGCCGCTATGTGAGATCCGTCACCCCGTAACACGCGAGCGCGTCCCAACGCTGACGTACGCGCGCCGTGACCCAAAGAACGGATCTCCCCCGTGTTCGGTCCCGTTTCTACGTGTTACGGTACAACATATACACAAGGGAGAGTGAAACATTTCGGATCGTGCGCCGGAACAAAATGTCATGCTTTGTTTTTATACGGCCGACGGCGTGTCGATGCCCGGGGACGTCCCGAAAAGTGTCCGGCCGTCCGTTCCTAGCAGGATGCAGCACGAAACGGGTCTCAACAAAACGGAGAAAAAGGTCGCCAGGAACCCACATAACACACGTTTGCACGAGTTCTTACAAAATATGTTGTTTTTTTCCTGACATTATAATTGTTTATCTTGAGAATGGTTTTATGCTTTTCTGGAAAATGTCCATTTTACCCTGCCCAAACCGACTCATTTATTTATTTACGGTTTCCCAATTACAAATGTACACAATATAAGTATTAGGTTTCAGTAGTGGATCTAAGGGGATGTAAAAGGGGAATGGGGGAGGCAATTCATCATCATCATCAAGAAATCATTTTCCTTTTAACTGGTCACGCATTGGCTTTGTTTTCCCCCGGTTCGATATTTCGATCACTCGATTTCCTATCAATAAACTTGTAAGTTGATGTTTAATTTTACTAAATTTCTTTCAAAAATCTAGCGCTCTCAAGCGGTCGCATTTTTGAACGTGTTGCAATCAAATTTGGCAGGGTGGTAAAGAATCCTGTAAGGATGGTTGGGATTGTTATTCATCCAAATTGACTCGGGGTCGCAGAGTTATAGGCGATGAAAGTCAAAAATTCAATCAAAGTTTTTGCCATTTCTACTTTTTCTCAACAGCTCGGTTTAACTTCACTCCCTCCTAGCCCCGCCTTGACTATTGGATTTTGGATTTTAAACTGGGTTCTTCCTGTAACTTTTAAGTCCGGTTTGGCCCAAATCCAAGCAGTATTTTAAATATTGTCATAATTTGGAAAAATCCCAATTTTAATCGGGATTTTTTCCCAAATACGGTACTTTCAAACATAATTTCTTTCGTTTAAAAGATCAAATTAAGAAATTGCGTATATTATTGGTAAATATGGCGTGGCCACCACATGTCTTTTTCCGTAAATCACCCATTTTTTACAAAAATGTAATAGTAAAGTAACGCGAAAAAATAATTAATTAATTAGTTTAAATAAAATTTAAAATTAGATAGTTAACTAGTTCACCATTATTTTATTTTCATTATTTCCAGTGGTCTAGAAGTCAATTGACAAAAACAAAAACAATTGATTATTTTGTTATTTTTTAAATTTTTTTGTATAAAATAAATGATAATAATATATACCCATGGTTTTCAAATTATTCTTTAATTTTTAAAGTAGCAAATTTTTTAGCACTGCTGGATGGATTCCGCGAAAGAAAAATCTACCTCTCACTCCTTTCTGCCGTGACGGTTTTTTTTTTTTGTTCATTTATGTTTTGTGCTAAAAAATTACATTGGAGACCATGATTTTTTTCGTGATTAGACATGTCCTTCTGGTGCTTTCCTGATTTCTGCCTCTAATCTTCTCATTTTGATCTCTTGATGTGATAATTTCTATGTTGCAATAAATTTTTCTATATACGTTAATGTCGGTGACTAAAAACATTTACATTGCAGGCTATGACGGAAAAACATTTTCGAAATATATGAAAGATATGTTCCTTTTTAAAATTACAGTATTGAAACTTTTAAATCAAGTAATTTTTTCAGTTTTTCCCTTTGAAGGAGGAGAAAGTATTGCGTTGGGCCGAAAAACGATGTGTATTCTCTCGATTGGCACGTTTTTAGGTATTCTGTGCCTTAAAAAAACCGAAATTTTTATCGTATGATCAACACTGTCAAAACCCTTTGAAAAGGCAGTGGAAATACAATCAACTCGTAATTAGAAATAGATTCTTGAAAAGTACGTTTGTTAATGTAGATCTTTAAGATTGAAAATGGTTGATTTGGAATAATAAAATTTTTAAAAATTGGGTTTAAAGAATTTAATATGATACTTTCAAAAAAATTTCCTACAGCAAGTTGTTATACAAATTTGTCTATAATTATAAATATTACTTTTATTGCAACTTTTAAAAACAGGAACTATATAACTACTTTTAATTATATGAGGAAATATTCATGTACCTAGTACTCATGTTAAAATAGGAAAAAATTTAAAAACTAATATAATTTGGCCATTAAAATTGTGTTATACAATTACAAAGTGTTTTAATGGCCAATTGTCGATTTACCCTAGGCATATAAGTAGAAGAGGGTAGCATCAACTGCAATTTGAAAAAAAAAGCCGTTTTTTAAAATCAGAAAAACAGTTTCCAAACGTAAACGAATTATCGAATCTCTGTTGTACAGATATCCAGCGAAAAGAGATTTCTTACTAATTTTTTTGTGAAAGGTCATAGCGGGCAAACGAATTGGGTCAGTCGTGCTTGAGCGGCGGATGAAGAAGTTAGAGGAACAGGTAGAATGAGCCAGCCTAGAGGTGTAATCTGGATTCCTCCTTGCCATCGAAATTATTATTTCTCATCCTCGGCGAACAACGGTCGTCCATAATTCCCACCAATTACCGAATGCTTTACCACACTTTTCCGAGGCCTGACGCACTCGTAAATTGAAGTCCGAATGACCGAATAAACGGTAGTCGGATTTCGGATAAATGAGAAGTCCATTATTCACAAGTCACTATGTACTTCAATAAGGTCGAATGCTTAAAAAATTCTAATTATACAAGCAGTTCACATTTGCACTTGAGAAAAGCTTTGACCTCCTAACTAGACGGATGATTGGTTGTGCAAACTTACAAGCTGTCACTGATGTACATTAAGATAATGATAGCAAATGATGAAATTTTTCCACGATTTGGAAATTATCGATCGAGTAAACCTGACCATTAACGAATCGTTACAATAACAAAATCAATCTGAACCGTTAAAATGACAGGCTGATATTCTCATTTTTATCAGATCCTCATTATCGAATTAAACTAGGGTCCAAAGAATCACTCAGGTTTCAAAAATAATTCTTCAATTTCACAGTGCAATTTAGAAGCCTATATTTACGCAGGATTTTTGGATTTGGGGATGGTCAGATGTTCCCATCATTACTCATGGGTGTTGAGACCTATGAGGATCTTCAACGTTCGGACTTATCCCCGAGGGGACTTGTCACATCCCTTGGCTAGCGAGGTGGTGCAACACTAACCAAGTGCAGAAGTGCCCTAAAAAGAACACATCCATGCATGTGCCTTAAAAAAGACAGTTTTGTGGTTTCCAGCACAGCCGTTTAGCCATGCCTTTCACCACCCCCGGAGAGATAGAGAAGGCACTCTCCAGCTCCGGTTGGCCGGTACCTTCCAGCTAAGGTACAATTTGTTTACAAACCACGACCACCACGAGTCCAACCTCAATTAGTAGAGCCGCTTGGATACTCTACTCCCGTGGTTCAGTATTATTTTTAAGTTGGGACTGATTGCCCACCCGGGAGATCATACGAACTCCCTACTGATGCACCCGTCGCCTGAGAGGTGCGGGACCAGTAACCCAGGAAGCCTCTGCCAAAGCAGTGGGGGAGGGGGAGGGAAAAGGAAAGGAGTAAAGAAGGATAAGGAATTTTGCCTCCTTCATTGGTTACCCCCAGGCACCAGGGTTGATGGTCGGACTTTGCCTGGGCCCACAAGGAAGGTGACCCTGTGGGTGGTGCCACAAGGGTCAATACTCGCTCCGCTTTTGTTCGGATTTTACTTCTGATATACCCACAAATGAGAGTGCATATACCGCCACTTACGCAGATGAAACCGCTTTATTAATAAGTCATTCCTCTTCTACACACTTCACTTATGTTACAAAATCACACATCAGCAACTAAAAAATGGAGCAATCTTTGGAAAATAAAGTCTAGCCCCTCAAAGTCAAAACTAATCACTTTTACACTCCACCGTGAGTCTTGTCCTAGGATAGACTGGTACAATGAACCTGTTAATTTAGGACTGATAAAGCAGAGGGTGTAAGGAAGAGAAAGGAAAATTAGGAAAGGAAGGGTATAGGAAGGTAAGAGGGGAAATTGCCTCCATCATTGGTTACCCCCAGGCACCAGCGTTGATGGTCGGACTTTGCCTGGGCCCACAAGGAAGGTGTCCCTGTGGGTAGTGCCATAAGGGTCAATACTCGCTCCGCTTTTGTTCTGATTTTACTTCTGATATACCCACAAATAAGAATGCACTTACCGCCACTTACGCAGATGAAACCGCCATATTAACAAAGTTATCCCTCTTTTACACAAGCTTCACGTACAAAATCACATATCAACAACTAAAAAATGGAGCAATCTCTGGAAAATGAAGTCTAGCCCCTCAAAGTCAAAACGAATCACTTTCACACTCCACCGTGAGTTGTCCTAGGATAGACTTGTACAATGAATCTGTTAATTTAGGACTGGCAAAGCAGAGGGTGTAAGGAAAATTATGAAAAGAAGGGTATAGGAAGGTAAGGGGGGAAATTGCCTCCATCATTGGTTACCCCCAGGCACCAGGGTTGATGGTCGGACTTTGCCTGGGCCCACAAGGAAGGTGTCCCTGTGGGTAGAATTGGAGATGGTCAACCATCCCTAACTATCCTTAACCAACCAACTCCGGTTATTCGTTAGAAGCAGACAAACCTGTCTTCACTGAGGATTTTGATTCCGTGCTTCATTATTTTCCTTTTTTCAGATGATGCTGCCACTCGTGGTGGCGCTTCTCGTCGCGCCGTGCGTTTTGGCGCAGAGCAATTACGCTTCGCAGGCAAACAGCATAGAGTTCAAGAACGAAGGGCTGCCTGACAGCACGGTCTTGGACGGCAAGGTCACTAAGTTGGACGACCTCTCACCTGTAATATTCCTAAACAGGACAAAAGCGGCTCTCAACTGTGCCTCAGGATATATGCAAGTATGTAAAAAAATCAAATTTAAAAAATTCCGTAATGATTTTGGATGCCGTTTTCAATTTCTTTGTGCTCCAGATCGAGCTTAAATTTGACGAGCCGTTTTACGGAATAGCGTATGCCGACTTCGACAGAGCGAGCGCCTGCCAGGTCAGCGGGCGCGGCGACAAGACTGCAAAGATTGACCTTCCTCTTAAAGGATGCGGTACAGTTCAGGTTAGTGCGGTATTTCCAGGTGCAGAAGGTTCCATTTGAACGGTAACTTTAACTGGTATTGTTTTAGGATCCCCAACGAGTGTTTACGAATAACATCGTGGTGAGATTCCACCCGGCTTTAGAGATGGAAGGCGATGAAGTCATAACGATCGTATGTCGATATCCACCCCCGATCGCACCACCTCCTGCGGGAATGCCTGAATACATGTAAATATCGCAATAAATTATTTTTTGAAAATTATACTTGACCTCTTTTTGTATATTATTTTAGTCAGGAATTGCCGGCACCTGCATTGCCCTTAGCTCCTCCACTCCGCGGCTTCCAGATACTTCTAATCATCTGCGGAATATTGTTCCTCTCGCTCGTCCTACTGGGGCTCGGATGTTCTTACTATATGCTGAGAAGGAAGCGCGTACAGGTAATCAGAAGGCATCCGCTGTCGACGGGAACCGGCTCGGAGATCACCAAACTGTCCGATTCCAGTCTGGGCCACATTTCCATGTTCGAGAACGTCAAGATTCCGAGAGCACACGCCCAAACCGGGAGCAGCTCCGGCTCCGAGGCGGCCCTCATCAGCGATACGCTTCCGTCCGATTATCCTTCCGAATCGCCCAGTTCAGCGCACTCTGAGGTCGAGGACGTCGACACGAGATCTTTGAGAAGGTCTTCGAGCTCTGGAGCCTCCTATGAAAACAAAGGCTACGTGCAGGACAGTTTTTACACCGAGACTACTGGGCACACTATCGAGACGGAGATGCGCCACGCTCTTCCTAAACGACCTCCTCCAGAGCCTAAATTCGATGTACAAGTCAGAGTGAAAAAGGCCGCTCTCCCTCCGCCAACCCCTACACCTCCCCCATCGGAGTCCGAAGCGAGTATGATGATGGCAGAAAGAAATCTAACCACGATTCTGGAAGAAGCAAGGTAACTCACCTTCAACGATTTGAAAATGTATTTGATAACCATTATATTTATTTGCAGGTCTATGCCGAAACCGATCAAAACGACCTTTTCTTACATTCCCGAAATACACGCTCCGCCAGCGTCGAAGATACCAACCCCTCCGCCTGTTTACTCTACAGTTAGGAAGCAGCAGCACGTCGACAAGACGGTTACTGAGGAATTGTACAGCCGTGAAGACCGCGTCGACTACGAGGCAAGGGCGAAGATGTCACCTCCTCCTCCGGTCACTCCCATGTACTCAAGACTAGAAGGCAACGAAGAGACGACGGTCGAAATAGTCGAACCGCCGTTGATCGTGTCGAGGCGACCCGAGTTGAAATCTCACGTCGTGGACGATGTTTTCTTAAGGACCATTACCGAAAAGAAGACAATCGAGGACATCGAGCGCCACAAAAGGCAGATTACCGAATTCAGGAAGGCGCAGCCTCCTCCTAAATGGGATGTCACTATCAAAAACTATCCTCTCCCCGAAGGTATAAACGCTACATTTTTCACATTTTCTAATATTTAGAATTCTTATTTACATTTTTTATTCTACAGATTCACAGCGAGACGATTCGGTGACTGATTGGGATAGTTACTCAGAGAACTCTTCTGTAGCAGATTACAGGCCTCATGGTGTTTATAGAACTCAGAACATCCATACGCAGAGGACAGACATAGAAACTGAGAACATTTACAGACATGTTTTGGAGACACCAGTACAAGAAAGGCCAAAACAGAACTGGGATGTTATGGTGAGAGTGCTTGAACCACCACAGTATGAATCGACAGACGACCGGTCGGATGTCGAGAGTATCGCTTCTGCGTTAACAATAGAGGACCGGAAAAAGTGGAAGGAGATCATCACTACTGAGTCCACTCTTAGGACAATGCTTACTGAAGCCACGCTGAGAGAGGATTATGAAAGGATCAGGAGGGATCAGAGATATGAAAAATTGTTTGAGCCACAAAAATGGGACGTTATCATTAGAGTGTTGGCTCCTCCTGCCGATAGGCCTCAGTATGATCAAAGGGGAGCCGGAGGCAGCAATAAATACAGGAGAAAGGCCGATTGGGATACGAGAAGCAGGAGAAGCTCCTTACCGACCCTATACGAATACGATTCGGATGGTGGTTCATCGGTGAGGACTTTGACGACAGACGGGCATGGAGTGCCTAGTGTCACCGACCCACTGAGGTCGAGGAGGACGTCAAGATCCAGCATGAGGTCAGAGATGGACGTCCGTTCTATGTCTGAGGTCACTGTCGACATGCGAGCGCACATCCTAGACAATTTTTCGGACGTGTCCTCTTACTACCCGAGGCGCTACTACGACTCGGATGACGATGACAACCGAAGCCTGGTCAGGTCGCTGTCGCAGCCTTCCCTGGCTCGTTCGGCCTCTGAATTCACTGAGCATTGGGCTGTAAGATCGAGGCACTGGGAGAGCCCGGAGCACTCACCGCGTTCCTCCCGTTCCGCGAGGACAAAGGCGATGCGCCTCACTCAGACTCGCTACGAAAAATCATCTAGTTCTAATTGGTTCGGAGATGCCGACAGTGAAGCGAGCTTCAAATAAACGCGAACAAATCGAATGATCAAACTAACACGCAATTAACTGTTTAATAATGTGCCAAACTCGCCAAGACAGTGCTTGTAAAACATTGTAGTCTTATTTTAATTTTTAGCGATTATCGTTTTAAAATAATTAACAATAAATACTGCCAAGTTATAAGGATAAATATCCTTAGATCTTAAAGTGTTATAAACATACTTTACTAAATTACTATTATTTTTGTCTAAGAGACGCATCTTTCATTAAAAAATAATAATTTAGGCTTTGGTTTTAGACCAACAACAATTTCTCTGATAATTTTTTATTCGGCCATACCTGTGATAAATACGTCTCTCTTTATTATGATAATTTTCACTCTCATGTTATTATTTAGACATTAAAAGCTCTTTTTTTCATTATTCCCACTCGGTCTCTAAGAGAAACTAACATTTAAATTAAACTTGGGGTCTTTCGTCGAGGGAGCTGAGTGGGACTGGAAAATCAGCTTGAGCTCCCATTTTAGAATTTAATGATTGATTAGGATCAAAATGCCTAACTCAAAGCGTTACCGTTACCTATGAACATCCTTGATTTTTGCTTTGTTATTTTGACAAAATGGGAGTTATTTCGGCTTACTATCGTTTTAGTTTACTTGGTTATGGTTTTTTTCTTTATTTATCCTGGGTTTTGTTTTCTCCTACTACTGAAAATGATTTATTGCAACTTTCCTTCCAATACTTCAAAACCAATTTAAATGAAAATTGACCAATTTATAATATTATACTTTTTTATTATCAGAATCAAATTATTTTTTATAAAAAGAGAAATATTTTTAATAAAAATGTATTTTTGACCTGTTAAACCGATATAAAAAAACAAGTAATATTTACTATATTCAATTATTTTTATTATTTTCCTCATTCTTGAACATTATTTCTAATCTATTGTTCTTTGTCCTTTATTAAATAATTTTCATTGTTTGCAATACAAAAATAAATTTTGTATATTAATAATGAATGTTAATTAAACTTTATCTCAATAACAGTTTGTTTTATTATTATCATTTATACACCCCAAATAAAGCTTATTTTCAAATTGAGATTAAAAGAGAAAGTGAACCACCCATGACATGTGTGCAAGTCTTTCTGAAGATCACAATTCAAAGCCTAAAGCAGTTAAATCTATATAAAACAACAATATTGTTTCTCTTAATTGAAAATTTTTCCATCGCATATAAACTAAAATTATTTATTATTATTCAGAGATCGTGAGATGCCGTCTGGTGTGACGTAGGTTTTAAAACAACATTTTCTTTATCGTGCCAACGTTTCGAGCTTTATTGACATCATCTTCAGCACTCAAAGATTTGTTTTCCATGTAGATGTGTCATTCTTGTCTGTCGTATTGAGAGGGCACTCGCTTTGAGCCCTGAAGATGATCTCAATAAAGATGGAAACGTTGGCACGATAAAGAAAATGTTTTTCTAAAATCTACATCACACCAGACCACATCTCACGATCTCCAAACAATCATTAACTAATGGTCACTAAACACCACATATTATTTACTATATAAATGTGATTTTTTTCTTTTACCCTGCTATGTGAAAACCAAAATACCTGCCTTTTTCAAAACCATGTACTAAATAAATACAGGACCACTGGATTCGAACCAAGTACCTTTATCTTACAGTGATGAGCACCATGTCAACGCCTAAACCTTGCAGTAATAAAACCCCATGGTTTATCAAACAGTATAAATGTAAAGAGAAAAAATAAACTTGTACAAAAAACATTTATTTCATGAAACATAATTCAAATCAATTCATTGTTATCTGCCAAACTCTCGACATATTTTAAGGTCGTCAATTTGCATAAGATCGGATAGCCAAGCAGCCATTAAATTTTTACGGTGTAAAAAAATCACATCAAAACTAGTCACTGAATGCGTCCAAAATTTCCAAAACCTGGGGAAACAACAGCCTGATAAAATGGGAATTATGGATAAGAAAAAAAAAGCAGACACACTGGCCAGAGGAGGACAGTAAGACCACATGTAGGCCCTGGACCTATTCTTGGAATAAGAAAAAACAACAAACGGACAAAAGAAGAAATGGATAACTTGAGGGGCGCTAGACATGGTAAATTTTATGTTAATACAACCCTCATAAGACTGGCAAACTCACTGCAACAATTAAAAAGAGTCAAACTCAGAGGAGTTAGGTTAGGTAGATAGGACTATTTACTAGGCACTGGCATCAGAAAAAACTACACATCATGGGCCGATTCAATTATGATCCCATTTGTAGATTATTTTGTTTATTACAAAAATAGGCTAAGAAGGCCTACAAAAATAGGCTATAACACAGAAAAATATAATAAACACAAAATAGAATTAAAATGTACCTGGTGATTATTTATAAACTACCCTCCTTTTATGTCTTTTCTTTGGAATTCATTTTTTTTTTTTTTTTTAGTAGGACTGGTCTTTACATAATTTTTACTTTAGAATCTGAATATGAAGTCAAATTTTTTTTTCAACATACAGTATGTCCCCAGAGCTAAGCAACTTATTTTTTTAAATGGGCTATCATTTTGAATATGGAATTAAATTCTACAACTTTTTAAAAAAGATTTTACTTCACTTTTCTTGTAGAGTTTGTCGTTTAAGAGTTATTAAGGTTTGAAAAAAAAAACAGTTCAAATTTTATTTATCTCAATCGTCATTCATTTACCTCCTAATTAAGCCATTTACCTCCTGGTAACTTTATTAAGTTAATAATCCTAGTAAATTACATTTTCAAAATGGGCAGTATGTCGAATTATGCGAATTTGAATTATCCCAATTGTGACGATTCAAGGTCCTTAATTATGGAAATGAATTGAGGGGGTGTCATAGATTGTGCAAGTGTAATTGCAAGCATTATCGCACCTTGAGAAGTGGATATGGAAACATTTTGAAGAATTAACATTTAGATAATTATTTAAACAACAAGAGTAAAGAGGATTTAAATCGTTTTGGAGGATTAAGTGATCAGAAAAAGAGGAAACAGGTTTAAAAATGTTTAGATCATTAGCAAAGAGAAGAAAATTTATATCTTTAAGCACAGAGTAAATGTAATTTATGAAAACAGGAAACAATAGAGGCCCTAAGTGAGAACCCTGAGGAACTCCTGAAAAAACGGTAAACTTAAAAGATAGAGAAAAATTAACTTTGACTATTTGTAAAATATTTAATATTACGATTGACAGTGTCATGAATGCAAAATCTGTATGAATTGAATCGACATAGTAAATGTAATTTATGAAAACAGAAAACAATCGAGGACCTAAGTGAGAACCCTGCGGAACTCCTAAAATTACTGTAAATTCAAAAGATAGAGAAAAATTAATTTTGACTATTTGAAAAATATTTTCCCATCCAAATATCACGATTGACAGTGTCACGATTGTAAAATCTGTATAAATTGAATCGACATAGTAAATGTAATTTATGAAAACAGAAAACATTTGAGGACCTAAGTGAGAACCCTGCGGAACTCCTAAAATTACTGTAAATTTAAAAGATAGAGAAAAATTAATTTTGACTATTTGAAAAATATTTTCCCATCCAAATATCACGATTGACAGTGTCACGATTGTAAAATCTGTATAAATTGAATCGACAGAGTAAATGTAATTAATCAAAACAGAAAACAATCGAGGACCTAAGTGAGAACCCTGAGGAACTCCTAAAATAACTGTAAATTCAAAGGATTGAGAAAAATTAACTTTGACTATTTGGAAAATATTTTCCCATCCAAATATCACAATTGAAAGTGTAACGATTGCAAAATCTGTATGAATTGAATCGACATAGTAAATGTAAATAATCAAAACAGAAAACAATCGAGGACATAAGTGAGAACCATGAGGAACTCCTAAAATAACTGTAAATTTAAAAAAATGAGAAAAATTAACTTTGATTATTTGGAAAATATTTCCCATCCAAATATCACGATTGACAGTGTCACGATTGCAAAATCTGCACGAATTGAATCAACCTAGTAAATATAATTTATGAAAACAGGAAACAATAGAGGCCCTAAGTGAGAACGCTGAGGAACTCGACAGTCAATTGCACTGAACTAGGTTATAATTAGATAGCAGGCTGCAATGCCCCTCCCTCTTCCTAGAATCCATCATCATCAAGCTCTTCATCATAATAGATGGTTTGAAATTTTTTTAAAGACTGAATAAGTCTGAACATTGCCAATGACTGTAACTCTATTGAAAAATCATTACTGGTCATTGACAATGTTGGGACTGAACTTGAAAATTTCAAACCTTCTATTAAAAACTTAATTATGACAAATTATAGACATGTTTAAGATTGTTTTGCCATGACGATGGCCTTAAAATAGGTTGAAAGCTTGGCAGATATCAAATGAAATTGTTACTTTATCCAGACTGTAGTAAGTTCCAGATTATTCGTAACGTAATTGAAGCAGATAATCTATACCAAAAGGCAGCTTAATCTTATATATTAAAAGAAGAAGGAATGTGATTGTATACTGCCACCATATTCTTATTTGCAATACAAAATTTCGAATTCGAGATTTTTTCTTGAACCTCTCATTGAAAAAATGTCTAAAGCTTTTTATCCCATTGGTGAATGCAAAAATAGGATACATTTCAGTTTGTTTAATAATTTGTGGTCCACATATTGCAATTTCACGAAGGTAGTCCCACCGCTAGCCAATAACTAATCACTGCCGCCTCTTTCACTTAACCTTTATGCTGTAGGTGAACAAGTATCTCTATAATCTTAATTTACAGATTAATACATTATTATGTTAATGATTAGTGTCATTAAAAAACACAATGTAAGAACTTGCATATACTGATCTCATAAAATCAAAGCATCAAAACTGACTTGTTTTTGTAATAAATTCTAAACATTCTATTTAGTGTTTGAAAGGCTGGTGCTTAAGTAATGATATAAAATTTACATCTCGATTTATGAATTCCTTATAAAACAAGATGGTTGAACGGTGTCTTAGCTGACATCAGTATTTTTTCAACAGTGCAAGGTTGATCTAAAACAAAACATAAAAATTAAAAAAAAAAGTCAAACTTTAAAAATAACCTATATGGAACAATAAACTTACCTAAATTGAACCATTCTTTGTCAAGACCTACTTCTTCCCTCGCTGCTTTCAAAGCTTGCCGAATTGCGCAAACGACGCTGTACGCCAGGCAAATAGGTGGCTCTCCGGTTGCTGAATAAAACCAGCAGTCAAAAACATCAACAACATAAAAAATAAAAAACTCACTCACATTTTGATCGCAACACTCCGCTAGCATTTGGCATATCTCTCGCTATGTTGACTCTGAAGTCAGCCGGAATGTCTTTTGCACCAGGAGGCCAGTAATGCTAATAAAAAAAGAATTAATAAAAAGGACAGTTTAATTTATTTAATCGAGACTTACCCAAGTCCTGTTTGTGAGGTTCATCCCCGTTGTGGCATCGGTGACAATCCGCTCGGTAAGCATGTAGCCGAGTCCCATTACAAAAGCACCCTCAATTTGCCCCAAATCGATATAAGGGCTTAAACTCTCTCCAGCATCCTCTAATATATCCGTCCTTAAAATCTATTTAAAAATAAATTAACTTGTTTTCAAATATTATAATTTTTATCATGTACTTACAACATGTTTGCCGGTTAAAAGATCAACTTCGACCTCTGATACACCAACACCGAACACATCATTTCCTTGCAGTTCGGTAGCAGCATTCCTAAAATAAAATCGCAAATAAACACAAAAACAAAAAAATTAGTTCAGTATTTCTTCTTACATATAAGATACATTCAAATCCACACTTTCTTCAAAAGCTTTATATATCAGCTCTTCCCAGGTTGGATTTTTAAGTTTTTTCTTAATTGGGGCCAGCCTCTGTGCCATGATTTCACAACATTTCAAAACAGACTAGAAAAAATGTTATTAATTGGCAAAAGGCATTGATGTTTTAACAAATGGTCTACAATAGTATCAGCTAATTATTCTTTTTATCTAAGGATTTGGTTGAGATGAAAAAGTCACAAGCAGGATTTGAACCCATGACAAGGAGATTTGAAAGAAGAAATACGCTATATAAGAATTACGATTGAACAAGACAGCACGATTTTTGATCCTTAGTACTCATCTGGGTTTATTTAAAATTTAATTTTTTTCAAATTTAAAGCTAGCATTATGAGCGGGATTCGAACCCACAACTCAATAGGCCAAATATGAAGGCCATTTCATCTCAACCAAGACCAAAAAAGTATAATTAATTTAAATAATTAATAAAATCAATTATGACTACTAAATATGGATTAATATAGAATTAATTAGCGTGTTTAGTCTTCGTGGGGAATATTCTACAAACAAAAGTGGAAAAAAATCTACTGAAATCAAACACTCAACCTAATATACTATTTAATTTTAATAGTTATAAAAAAATTGTAATTAATAACAAATAAATAAATTCAAAAATTAATCATTCAAAATGTGTGGCCTCACTTATTATTTTACAAAAATTCAACAACAATAAATCTGTACAGTCAAGTCTATTTAAAATTATTCTTTTTATCTAAGGATTTGGTTAAGATGAAAAAGTTACTGTCACGAACGGGATTCGAACCCACAACTAGTAGATTTGAAGGGCGTCATTTCTTGGCTTTATTTAGAAGGGAATAGGCTATATAAGAATTATGATTGAACACAACAGCATGATTTTGGGTCCTCTGTTCAAATGTTTAGGAAAAAATCGATGTCCATCTGGGTTTATTTAAAATTTAAAAATTTTAATTTAATTTTTTTTTAATTTAAATCTAGCATTAAGAGCGGGATTCGAACTCCCGACTCAATAAACCGAATACGAGGTCATGGGTTCGAATCCCGCTTGTGACACCAGCTTTTTCATCTTAACCAAGACCTAAAAAGTATAATTAATTTAAATAATTAATAAAGTCAATTATGCATATATTTAATTAATGTCATACAACTAATTAAGGTTTTTAGTCAAGATAAAAAAGTCAATGGCACGAGCGGGATTCGAACCCACGATCTTTGGCTTGATACGCCGCTGCTNTTCAGTTTTCTGTGGGGAGACGTTTTAACGGCTATTGTGCCGAGGTGTTTTGTTTCCATGACCATTTTGGCCTGCAGAGAGTCAGTAACCTCTATACTCAATATTCCCGATGATAATTTCTTTAGATTCTTTACATTTCCCATTTGTTTGTTTAAAACACGGCAGATCTGGATTGGGGAATCTTCTTTGAAATCCCCTTCCTTCTTTTCCATAATCCAGTATCTCGTGAAAATGCTGTTCTTTGTGAATTTGCATTCGCTGTCGCTTTCGCTCTTTCCTTTTCTTATTCTTTTTCTTTTTTTGGACTCCGGCTCAAATGGCTGCAGTGTCCTCACTATTTCTGTTTTTCCTTTTCCGTACCCAGCAGTATCCTTACGTTGGGTGGCGCTGCTCTCTCCACCAACACCAACGGGGCCCGAGGGAATAACGCCGGGGGTGGCCTGTGCCCCCGACGTCACCGGCATTTCGCCTTCCGGATCTACGGCGTTTGATTTTAGGGTTTTCGGAGCTACGTAATTCAGGTCGGAAGGCAGCTACCCTTCCGACCCTAGCCGATTAGTGGGGCTGCCACTAAAGGTGAACCGGCACACCTCCTCCTCCCTAAAACCCTGGGACGCCTGGGATAGGAGAGGGAAAAGGTTAGTGTGGGGGAAGGGTGGTTATGGAGTGAAAGGTAGGGTATGGGTTTAAGTAGGGGATAGAGAGTTAAGGATGGCCACCAGGTACGGGAGGAGTACATGGACGCAGTTTAACCTCTTGCCCGGGAGTAGCAGCGGTGTATTTAGCCGAAGATCGTGGGTTCGAATCCCGCTCGTGCCATTGACTTTTTTACCTCGACTAAAAACCTTAATTAATTGTATGATGTTAATTGGTCAAGAGGACCACTAGGTCAAGAAACTAGTGAATTTAATTAATGTGTTTAGTGTTCATGCGGAATATTGCACAAACAAAAGTGGAAAAAATCTACTGAAGTCAAACATTCAACCTAATATATTATTTAATTTTAATAGATTATAAAAATTGTACTTAATAACTAGTAAATAAATTCAAAATATGTGGTCTCTTTATTATTTTACAAAAATCTGCAATAAATTTGTATAATCAAGTCTATTTAAAATTATTCTTTTTATCTAAGGATTTGGTTGAGATGAAAAAGTTACTGTCACGAGCGGGATTCGAACCCACGACTAGTAGATTTGAAGGGCGTCATTCCTTGGCTTCATTTAGAAGGGAATAGGCTACATAAGAATTATGATTGAACACGACAGCATGATTTTGGATCCTCTGTTCAAATTTTTAGGAAAAAAATCTATGTCCATCTGGGTTTATTTAAAATTTAAAAAATTTAATTTTATTTTTTTAAATTTATATCTAGCGATAAGAGCGGGATTTGAACCCCCGACTCAATACATCTTAACCAAGACCTAAAAAGTATAATTAATTTAAATAATTAATAAAGTCAATATGTATACATTTAATTAATGTGTTTAGTGTGCGGAATATTCCACAAACAAAAATGGAAAAAATCTACTGAAGTCAAACATTCAACCTAATATATTATTTAATATTTATTTAGAAATCGTGAGATGCGGTCTGGTGTAATGTAGGTTTCAAAAAAAAAAAAACATTTTCTTTATCGTGCCAACGTTTCGATCTTTATTGAGATCATCTTCAGAGCCTGGGATTTACAAACATTGTTTACATATAACAATTACATTTTGGATGTGGAAACGTGAATTTAATGCAAAATATATTTTATATGTAGAGATTAGTGACCGTTAATCTATAGTTATTCAGATATCGTGAGATGCGGTCGGGAGTGATGTATGCCTTGCACAAAATTGTCTTTTATATACCGACTTCCTTCCCAACCCCCTCAAAACCAAACATATATAAACATGAAACAGCAAAATCTCACTGGCACTCTCAACACGACACGCAAGGATGGCACAATTACACAGAAGACAAACACTTTGAGCCCTGAAGATGATCTCAATAAAAGATCGAAACGTTGGCACGATAAAGAAAATGTTTTTCTGAAACCTACATCACTCCCGACCGCATCTCACGATATCTGAATAACTATCGATTAACGGTCACTAATCTCTACACAAAAAGATCGAAACGTTGGCACGATAAAAAAAAAGTTTTTCTGAAACCTACGTCGCACCAGACCGCACCTCACGATCTCCAAAAAAAAAATATAACATGTGATTAATGTTTATAAATCCCAGGCCCTGAAGATGATCTCAATAAAGATCGAAACGTTGGCACGATAAAAAAAAAGTTTTTCTGAAACCTACGTCGCACCAGACCGCACCTCACGATCTCCAAAAAAAAATATATAACATGTGATTAATGTTTCTAAATCCCAGGCCCTGAAGATGATCTCAATAAAGATCGAAACGTTGGCACGATACAAAAAAAGTTTTTCTGAAACCTACATCACACCAGACCGCATCTCACGATTTCTAAATAAATATCGATTAACGGTCACTAATCACCACACATATTATATAATTTTAATACATTATAAAAATTGTACTTAATAACTAGTAAAAAATTCAAAATATGTGGTCTCTTTATTATTTTACAAAAAATCTGCAATAAATTTGTACAATCAAGTCTATTTAAAATTATTATTTTTTATCTAAGGACTTGGTTGAGATGAAAAAGTTAGTGTCACGAGCGGGACACTAACTTTTCAATTTCAACCAAGACCTTAGATAAAAAGAATAATTAATTTAAATAATTAATATGGTCAATATGGCCACTAAACTAAAATATATAAAATAAAAGAGCCACAATTTGATAAATGCATTATGCTTCTCTGAGTAACATGACGATAAATGCATTATAAATTTGTGTTTTAAACTTACATGACAACATGTATCACTTGTTATACTCGCTCCAGACATTCCATCATTTGGAGCTGTCAAGCAATTGGTGGGTTTCACCTTAACCATATCCAAAGGAATGCCCAATGCATACGCGCACACCTGAGCCACCTAAAAATACAAATGTAGTTTTATTTATTCGCTTAAAATTGGATTTAACTTTACCTTTGTGTTCAAGCCCTGGCCCATTTCGATTCCACCGGTTGTCAGCGATACGGTCCCATCATCGGCATAAATGGACATCATGGCGTGATAACTTACAAAATAGTCCAAGTGAAAAACCATTGGAATTAAAGAGATGCCTCGTTTTCTCCATCTGTTATCCTAATAATTGCTTGGTTTTATGTCATTTTTTATATGAACATATTACAATACTAGAAATCAAATGAAATTCACATGGCCAATTACCTTATTGAATTTGAGGATTTCTTTAGATCTAAGATCATATTCAGAACTTTTCTTTATTGTATCTACCATAGAGGCAAGCTGGGGGAATTCGCCAAAATTGTTCAACCTCACTGATAACGGATCCTTTCCGATGGTAGTTGCAATGTGCTCCATTATCTGTTCTGTAGTTAACATGCCCTCGAGGGTGCCTGAAAACCAAACGCTTATAAGTTAAAAATGAGTAAAGTTAAATGCGAAACGTACCTGGTGCTCTCATCCATGCACTGCTAGGGTTATCTGTCTTTACATCATAAATATCAATGTTCCAGTCTGATGAACGATAACAGTTTTGGATTCCGCTGAGGATAAGGACGTCATAAGGATCATTGAGAGCGCATCCGTTGTCGCTGTAAACTTTGATCTTTGCTTCTTCTATTTTCCCATCATCATCAAAACCAATCTGACGTTGACAATGTTATAATGCCGTTTTAAAGATAGAACCTTTCAATGCTAACCTCATACTGGCTGTAAGCCGCAGCACGCTTCCCGATTGCTTCCATGTTTGTTTGAATGTCCAAAACCATCCGGACAGGCCTGTTTAACTTGTACGCTGCCAAGGCGCATGCAGTGGCTATCAGAGCCGATCTTGTAATTTTACAGCCAAAACCACCGCCGATTCTCCTCACTTGTATATTTATGCTGAAACGAATATGCACTAGATTATTATTTTTTTTAAATAAAATGCCTTATTTCACTACCAGCAACTATGCAAGTGCACAAACCTGTTTTCAGGCAGGTTTAAACATTTTGAAATCGGGCCTTGTACATTTTGCATCCATTGAGTTGCCGAAAACACATCCAGGCCATCTTCAACAGGCACGCAAACGCAGCTTTGAGGTTCCATGGTGAAATGGTACTGCTGGCCCAATTCCAATTCTCCACTAATTTTATTTGCTGACTTATCTGTCGATTTATTAACAATAGTAAAACATTTTGGAATGATCCGAACAAAAACGCCACCTACGCTTGCGCTGTTTTTCTTCCGATGAAACTTTAAAAGGCTTTATTCTTGAATTTGCGTTTCTTTGCAAAACATCTTTCACCGAAAGAATAGGTTTAGCCTTGTTTTTGTAGGTGATTTTAACCTTTCTAGCAGCAGAGAGCACGAGCTCGTAATTTTCAGCTACAACCACGCCGACAGGCTGGCCTGCGTATAAAATCTTCCCACTTGAAAATATCTGCAAAAGATAAAAAATACAAACTCGCCAAAAATAACATTTGTATTTTGAAAATACCTCTTCTGTCTCATAAGTATACGCGTTTGAAATCATAAAATTGTTAGTCCCTGGTATATCAGTAGCTGAATAAAAAGCCACAACTCCTTCCATTGCCTGCCGATATGAACTTAAATTTAATTATCATGAAAATATTAGCAAAAACAGTATTATTCGATTAAATTGGTTTTTCTCTAACTTATGCAACTTCTCAGCACAAAATTTTGGATAATGTGAATGATGAACACTTAATTTTTTTTTAAATATCTATAAAATGTAATTATTTCTCTTACATTATGCTCTATATTTATCAGCTAGATACTCTATTTTTCGGGCTTACATATTTAAATATCTTCCTTTATAATTATATATATGCTGAAAGTAAATTTCTACTTGTTTGTACCTGAGGCTGATATAATGCATAGTGGTAAAATTTGTCAATATTAAATTCACTGATTTCGTGGTCCGCTTGACCAATTAATATATTACAATTAATTAAGGTTTTTAGTTGAGATAAAAAAGTCAATGACACGAGCGGGATTCGAACCCACGATCTTCGGCTAGATACGCCGCTGCTCTACCACTTGAACTATCGTGACCTCGAACCACTTGGACACTAACTTCCCATCTCAACCCCACCTTTTGAATTTTCCCTCCTTTTTGCCATTTTTCAAATGTCTTGTAATCGGATTGGATTCTCGACGACAGATCGTGGGTTCGAATCCCGCTCGTGGCATTGACTTTTTTATTTCATCTAAAAACCTTAATTAATTGTAATATTGGTCAAGCGGACCACGAAATTAGTGAATTTAATGATTTAAAATGAAGTATGTTTCACTAAAGCTCTCCATGGCCATTTCATTTGTCGTCGAGAATCCAATCCGATTACACGACATTTGAAAAATGGCAAAAAGGAGGGAAGATTCAAAAGGTGTGGTTGAGATGGGAAGTTAGTGTCCGAGTGGATCGAGGTCACGATAGCTCAAGAGGTAGAGCAGCGGCGTATCTAGCCGATTATCGTGGGTTCGAATCCCGCTCGTGCCATTGATTTTTTTATCTCAACTAAAAACCTTAATTATTTGTCAATATTATAAAAAAGAAATTTTCTTTTTTTTTTCCACTTAGACAATTTGTACGAAAAGCGACTCACAAGAGCTTCTGATGGGTCGATGGATTGGATGTCACCGATGGCTTCTCTCGCCAGTACCAAAGCCCCGTGTAGTTGGCCGGGAAAAGGAGGAAGATCATTGACATATTCGGCCTCTCCTGAAAAAGGCAAATTAATTCTACTTTTCAAAAATTTTAGGATTTGCTTTACCAGATGCTTGGATGACCCCTTCGAGTTTGGGAAAGTTTTTATTTTCCGGCCAGTCTGCGGGCTTGGTGCCACGATCTTGTCGTCCGGTCCCTAGCCGACGTTCCAGATTCATGCCTCCGCTCGCGTTCTTGGTGCTGATCGACTTTGGGTCGATCCCTAGCACAAACTATTTTCCAAAATGTCATTGTGAATCGATACGCGCTTCGGGTCTTTGTCACCTTGTAAAGCAGCAACAGGGCAGCTTTTCTCCTGTAGGCTTGGCTCGGTTTCAGAGGATCGTTGTCAGGCTCGAGTTCGTCGGAGAGGATTTCTAGACCCTTCGACAGCACCTTATCGTTTAACAGTTTTTTCCCTTTGAAGTACTCTTCAGTCTTTACAGCGTGTATCTTTTATTTAAAAATAGATTTAAAATTAACAATGACTATTATTTAAAAAAAATTTAATAAATTATTTGTGCTGAATTATTCCATTAGTTGGGAGGGTCAGGTTTTGAGAATTAAACCGTCAATTTGAAATTCATATTCTGAAAAATCCCTTGCCACTCATTCATTTCAACCCATGTCCTTTTAAGTATTTTTTTAAAAATTAATTTTCTATTTACACATAGTTTATAATTATTTTGTACTGTATTGGTTGTCCAGAAAATAATACAGGTTTTCATGTTTTGTTTCAATTAATCCTCTATGTAATAAACTGTTTATATTTTATGGAATTTTTTTTTAAGAATGTTAACAATTCTTTCAAACAAAAATGTTTGTTCATTTCATTGGGAATAATTCAGTATTTACTAAATCAACATGTAATTTTAGCATTTTACGAGTTTAAATTCAGCTGTTTATTTTTTCCAACCAACGTGTTTTGTAATTTACCCACGGCCTGAAGATGACCGGAATAAAGGTCGAAACGTCGCAAAAAAATGAAAAAGATGTTTTTCTAAACTACCTCATTCTTAACCGCTCCTTACGACTTCAACAAATTCTGAAAAATAGGTCACTACGAAGCACACATTAATTAAAAAAAGAAGTTTAAAATCGTTTATTTAATGGTTTTTATTCTATAACCAAAAACCTTCATTATTTTCCGGACAACCCAATATTTTAATATATTTCAATTAATTATTCTTTTTTTGAAAGGTCTTGGTTGAGATGAAAAAGTCAGTGACACGAGCGGGCGATCTACGGCTAGCGGTCGTGGGTTCGAATCCCGCTCGTGACACTAACTTTTTCATTTGAGCCAAAAGCTCATATAAAAAAAATAATAAACTCAATTTTAATAGCCTAGACAAAGCATCTGTACGTAGCAATAAGTCAATGGGACGACTATATGAAAACCGTCTTAAAACTACTTACAAATCGATGGTTCACCCCTCCAAAAACTATGCTCGGCTTTTCTAAAATGGTGCCACTATTGTCGAGTTTAAAACGGAATCCTGCGTTTATTAAAGCGTGCACGTTTTGGGATCTTGGCATTATCTAAAATGCAACGTAAATTTAGTGAGAATTCCTTTTTTTTTTCTTTTTTTTTTTTAGAAATGCATTGTTCTACCTTGAAAGTCCTAACTTTATAAATATCATTTGGCAAGCGAGGTAAAATTATCCTTTTTATCAATGCTTTGTATAAATTTTTCGCCAGCAGATCCTGCAAAGGAATCGGCGGTTGGCTCCGATCTGCACGAGCTAGAAAAAAGTTGGAGTTAAACAAATATTTTAAAATTTATCTTTTATTGTTTAATTCACCGACGACCACTTGAGCCCCGACCGTTTCTAGAATAAGAAATATATCAGACGGGAACTTGTTATTTTTGTGTTTTATCGCCAAGTTGCCGGCCAAAGTGCCAATCTAGAGCAGAAAATTATGTTTTAAAAATATTACAAACGTTCAACGTAGGTTTCTTACGTTTCGGACTGGAACGTTTGCCACGAGATCGATGTGGTCGCTGAGCACTTTAAGATAAGCAAAGCCGGGCTTCGCTGACTCTTTTGAGAAAAGGGCCATGGCATCCGTCAGAGTCATATTTGCCCCGATGTCCAGATGGGAATCGCTGATTTTATAATCTCTCAATTCGACGATTCGCCCCAAATCGATGTACACGATGGGTGACACTTCAGGTTTTTCAACACCTGAAAAAATAGCCAGTATCGTAAATGAAACATCAACGTATTAGCGGTGCCCACTGGAGCGATGCGATAGCGATGAGATATAAAACGATATTTAATCGCGCGATACGACTTTTATCGGCATAACACTCTCGTGCCCACTGGATCACAATGAACTGTTATGTACGCTGTTACAAAAATTGATAGAAGCTGTACTGTGACCACTGGTAACTTAAAATTAATACCACTAAATCAAAAATTAGAATATTTAAAAACAGTAAATGTCATTTACGACCAAATGAAAGATGGAAATTTAAAAATTAAATTTGAAAAATAGTGAAACATAAATATTTGGGGGTCTCAATGATATCACAGTTAAATTTCACGATACGTTTGATGGAATTTTTTAAAATTTATTTGTTACCTATACATGATAGTATACTAGACAAATGTATTCATGATTAATGTATCACACAGAACAACACTAGCACTAATGCTGCACCGTTAGAACACATGTTTGAGGAGCCAGCCAAGGAGGTCTCGAGGCCACAGTGGGTTGTCAGGATGGGTATGAGTGGAGAGGGCTCGAGCAGTAGATTTAGGATGGTTCGAAAGGTTGTTGTGGAAGGTTTGGAATCTAGATTGGATTAGTTCGTTGACAAAAGGAATGTTGAGGTCTTTGTGGATAGAGAAGTTAGTGACAGAATAAGGTGCTTTGACAATTTGTCTGAGGACTTTCGATTGGAAGGACTGGATGCGCTGGATATTGGAAGGCTTGGAAGTACCCCACAGTTCCACTCTGTATGTCCATATTGGTCTTAGTAAAGTCTTGTACAATGTTAGCTTTCTCTTGTTGTTGTTGACAAAGTCGATTTCGGTCTTAGAAGCCTTAGTAGTAGTCCAAGTCTTGTATTAAGTTGTTGTTTGTTAAGTCTTGTGTTGATTCCACGTCAATCTTCTGTCACGATATAGTCCCAGGTATTTGACTTGAGAGGAAACTGGTATCTCTTTGTTGTTGACGTACAATGGAAGGCAAAACTGCTTTTTCAGCGTAAAAGTACACCGAGTGCATTTTTCTTTGTTCAGTCTTGTCTTCCATGGAAAAAAATAAAATTAGCCAAATTAGGCTTTAATAGAGCTTGGCTTGTTACGCAGCGCAAATTTTTGGGTATAAAGAATATATAGATTTAGAAAAATTTCAACATTCGCTGCGAATATTGCCAGTGGAGTAGGTTTAGAAGAGTTTCTAGTACACTTTTAGGGGTTGTTCTCATGGCCCCTGTTATACATAGGTTTGTACGCTGCCCAAAATTTTCAACTTCAGCTTTTTGCTATTTTCTTCCATGCTATGCTTGTTAAATTAGTTCTTGAATAACTTTTCAAAGAATAATTACATAAATATGGGTTCTGTTCGACTATGATGGAAAAAGAAATAGCAGCGGAGAGGTCCAACTGTTGAGCTGATATGATTAACTGACGAGTCGCGACGATCTATCACCTGGCGCGATTGACAAGCAGTATCGTACCCAACCGATATGCTGCCGATAATTATCGGCGTTGCGTAGCGCAACACTTGTCGTATCGCGTATTGCATCGCCCCAGTGGGCAGCGGCCCTTAGGGTATACACACCTTTAGAAATTATGAGAAAACTATTAAAATACACTAGAGAAATTATTATTAATCGGTAGGAGATTTCAATATATATGTATATATATATTTTATTTTTTTTACTATTTAGTGGTGTACCTTGTGCGGTGTTTCCTCCAAGAAGAATGTACGGTCGATTTTCTATAATTTTGAAAATCTCCCAAACGTCCATAAGGCTGTAAGGTCTGTACCACAACTCGCCATTCTTAAGCGTCGCTCGGAACGGCAAAGTGCTTCTGTGGGGCCGTCGAGCCTCGTCCGTGCAGTGACCATTGCAGTTTTTCTTACAGACGCCGTTGCATGGCAACAGATCCTGGAAGAAAGGATACAATTACAGGTAAAATCGACCACCCCGATTCGTTTGGAGATTTTGTGAAACCTCGATATCGCCAACGGCCCGTTTTAGCTCGACCGTAGCGTCCGAAGCGAGCGCTTTGAAAGCGTCCATGATCGGCCTGTATCCAGTGCACCTGCACAAGTTGCCCCCAAACGAATTTTCCACCTCCTTCATCTTTACGCCAGGGTTGTCTATCAATAGGCTGTGAAATATTTCATCTGTTATTAATTGGATTACGTTTTCCATTTGGTGTCCTCGTCAGTATGCCAGCATACCGGAACATGTAATCCATAGCCAAAGTTAAAACGTGGGCTTGAAAAATGTGATTTTTATCATCTACGCTGATTAGCTAAAAAGTACACTATACATATTTTCATTCTTTAACGTAGCACCAACAGACCCAATGAATTTAGAAAATCAGTGTTCAGAAATGCAGTGCAGCAGCACAGTACAAGCAAAGTAATAAAATAGGAACATACAAATTATAACTACACTGATGGATAATTGCACAAAACAGAGCATTATGCCTTTCCTTTCTGCTTCGCCTAAAGATCGCTTTCAGTTAATCTTCTTCCTACGTTGATTTCATTGGGTATTATTCTTATTTTTAAACCGTTTTTCGATGGTTCCATTTGAGTGACAGTGTCAGGGTCATAACGTTATTAGAGGAAGGATACATCCTGCGCGAGGTCGCCAGGGAACTGAGTGTAAATCTCAAATAGGAAGGGTTCTTCGGCGCTTCAGAGAAACAGGGCTTCACACTGGAAGGGACATGGTTGACCTAGGTCTATGGACGGGAGAGTCCATAGATTGATCTGCATCAGGCTCATCGAAACCGCAGCATTACGGGAAATGATATAGGAAATCTGATAAAACAAGTCCGAAATGTTTCGATTTCCTCCAGGACTGTAAGAAGAAAGCTCAATGAAAATAACTTTACAGCAGGGCACCTGGCTCACGGACCTCTTCTTAGAAAATTGCCAGGCTTCAATTCTCACGTGAATATGTGAATTGGACATTGCAAGATGGGGACGAGTACTTTTTACAAATGACGTGAGAGTTGGCCTCACCTGGCTTAATTTCATACGAACACCCTTAGGAGAAAAGCACGCCGCGTGCTGTTTGGTTCCTCAGGTGGCATTCCACGGTGGATCATTGATGTTCTGGGGTGGCGATTCCTTGGATGCCCGCACTGAATTGGTTGTTGTGCGAGGAAGAGGCCTCGTAGCGCACGGTGTTGTGGATGACTACCTTAATGAGGTTGGAATTGAGTGGTTAGTGTGGCCAGTTCGAAGTCCAATCGAACACATTTGGGACCAAATTAAGCGACGGGTATGACATAATCGAAAAACATCTAGTACCATTTGTCCCCTACATGCCCCATAGAGCACATATTTTGGATGCTTACCTGAATGAGGTTTGAATTGAGCGCTTGGTTTAGTCAGTTCGAACTCCAGAGTTGAACCCAATCGAACACATTTGAGACCAACTTAAGCGATGAGTATGACATAATCAAAAAACATCTAGTGCCATTTGTCCCCTACATGCTCCATGGAGCACATATTTTGGAACTTGAATGCGCTTCGAAGTCTAGATTTGAACCCAATCGTTTCGTAATCGCCCCAATTCATAAATTGCAGTTCAGTTTGTAATTGCTTTACCTGTACATGTTCATGACCATCCCTGGGCTGCAGAAGCCGCATTGGGTCCCGTTGAATTTGGCAAGGTAGAGCTGAACCGGGTGATACCCTTTTTGTTTATTTCCAATGTCTTCTACCGTTGTAACAGTTAGCCCATGGCAGGATCGCACGGGGAGCAAGCACTATCATCATATTTTATGCTTGTATAGATAAACTAATCAATAAGAAATGTATAAAATTAATTACCGAATTGACTGCATAGTTCTTTTCCTGCTTGGTGACCGGGTCCACTGACTTGACGGCGACGATGCAAGCACCACAGCCGCCTTCCCTGCACATGAACTTCGTGCCTGTGAGATGGGCTTCCTCTCTCAGAAATGTGTTCAACGAAGTCTCCGCCGGCAGGTCGGGCCGAACTTAACAAACCAGTGAACATGTTGACTGAATGCTTTTATCACCATTTGAAACATCGAAGAAAACAATTTATATACGTTTTACAATATATGTTCATATCAAACATTTTAATCCTTGCTTTTTGTGAAAGATAGTTCTTACGCACAGGTTGTTTACAACTATCCGAATTTCAAGCATTATATGAGTTTGAATGAGTTACAAACACTCGACATTAATTGTAAAAGTACTCATTAGTATTCACTATTAAAATTCATGTGCTGGTAACTTCTTCAAACTGATGATGAGCGTAGAAATTTGTGAGTATAACCATCCTATCGAGCTGTCGGGAACATAGCCAGGGAATTCAATGACCCTAAAACTCTCAAAATTCTTTACTGTTCCTTTGTTAAATCACATTCTGTGTTATTTTATAAACACCCACTTCGTAGTCTCCTTTAATCGTCATATCTTGCGTTATTTGCTCCCTAAATTTTTAAAATAATCAGCTTACAAACTTAAAATTCCCCTGGCTATATATGACTACTTTAATGGATTTAATTTTAGATTAAATAAATTGAGTGGTGCATTTGTTGTCAATATATAAGTTCACCCTGTTACATAGACAAAGGTTCCAGGATATTTTTGGTATAGTTCCTAAATTGATAAGAAATTCGAATGTGACACATGCAAAATTACCTGAACACATGTTAACTTAAAAAATCTGTATAAAAATCATAATACACAATAATATTTGTTTGGACAAGATTACAAATTTACAAATTCGGCTATAACAACAATGCTATTTTAAAGGGGGCGGACTTTTCGAAGGGTAGGACACTAGAAGATGACAGATCTCCAGGACAAGTGTGAAACTATGGCCAGTTCTCAATTCGATTCATCGTCGTGCAGTTCGCAGTGCACCGGCGACTACGGATGCCATCCATCGACGACCCGTCGCTCCTTAGAGAGGAAGACGTTGGCGAACGGGCCGGTTGCCGGGCCCAAAAGGAACCAGCGCAGCTGCAGCAACGGCCGCTACAGGTTCAGACACATCTTCGAGTCGCCGTACGGCATCCGCAGCGCGCAGGAGAGCAAGCAGAAGCGGCTCCTCGCAAAGACTAACAAGTTGGAGGACATGAGAAACAGAATGAGCAGGTGCCGGGCCTGGGTTCGCAGCTGCGGCGACACCATCAACGAGTGACAAGCTGCGACACTCACCTAGTACGTCACTCTCACAATGTCTCCGTTCACAACACCTCATGCACAGATATATTAAATAAAAACGTCAATTTCAAGAGAATATCCTACTCCCGTAAGCAAATCTTGTTTTAATTTAGGACGATACAGACTCGACCCTCGGCGGATCGGCTTATCTATCAGTCGCAGTATTAGAGCATTGTTTTCTTTCTTCATCTCGATCAATGGTTTTAAAATGCTATCATGATGCTAAGTTTATCTCTTAACTTGTTCACCAGTTATGTTACTCATTATTATTTTTCAATGTGTAAAATCCTTTGTTCGGCTTGAATTCCTTCTCAAGATCGCTTCGTAGTGGACAGATAGCATAATATTATAATACAGATTCAGGAATTCAATAGTAATAATAATACTTTATTTCCTAAATATAGGTACAATTAAAAAAAAAAGTATTTTCAGCTTGGAATTTTTTCATTCCGTCAGCCGGAGGTTGACCTGACTTCTTCTTTTTTTTCTTTTTTTGGTTCGCAACAGCAGAGGTTATATCAACCGTCGGGGTGCCTGTGTTTTTGAAAAAAAAGCCCATTTGTAAGTATGCCGGGTTCGAATGCAGGGCCGCTGGATTCGAACCCGGGACCTTTACCTTACACTGACGAGCGCCGTGTCAACGCCTAAACGGTTCCGGCCACCGACGCCCCTCCCACTTGTAATGTAACTTGTTTTGTATATATTTTTATATATTAATCAAAGTTTCACGTTTTTAACGTTTAATGATTGAGACTTTGTCTACAAAAGTAAAAAAAAGTAAATTACTAAGGAAATTTTTAAAAAATTAAGAAAAAAGACGGAGAGATAATTATTAATTAACATTTCAATATCGCGTATTTCCTTTTGTTGCCTTAATTACATCTCGAAGACTCCTCGGCATACTTTCTACCAGTCTGGAAATATCTCTTTGCTGGAGGTTAGACCAATCTTCACGAAGAGTCCTTTCGAGATCGTAGAGGGTATCAGGAAGTGATGGACGCGCTCTTATTCGTCTTTTGAGGTTATCCCATAAATGTTTGAGGGGGTTCAAGTCTGGAGAACGGGCTGGCCAGGCTAAGACTCTGGCTGTTGAAAGTACGTTTGTACTATGCTTGTCGCTGATTTCATCGTGGGTAGGCAACGCAGCATGTTCCAAAATTTCATCCCCATAGAGGCCGTCAAAGACTCTCTAAGAATAACAACCGACTCTGTCCGACTCCCATTGAAATTCCTGTCCACGTCATCACTGAGCTACGTTGAAATTGTTGGCTCTGAGAAAAATTACAGGCTTCGTACCTTTCATTTTGCCTGCTCCACACTCTTTCACTCCCATCTGGAGATCGTAGAGAAAATCTACACTCATCTGTAAAACGTAAAAAACCAATCGTCCAAAAACCAATGACTGAGTTCTCGAGCAGATGCGAACCGTGCAACTCAGTGTTCTGATCAATTCTGGTCCTCTGACTGGGCGAAAAACCATCAGTCTATACTGACTTAACCTTCTTCGAGTAGTGCGTTCAGGAATTTGGACACCCCGACTTCGCTTGAATGAAAGGTGTCGGATTCGCAAAATTCTGAAAGTCGAAAAACGGTCATCCTTTGGATCTGTTGTAACCCTAGGGCGTCCAGAACCGGGCCTTCTATGGTAGTACTCAGTTGCTAGAAAACTCGCAGTGTTGGTAGTGATTGTAGTCTCTGTAGGTTATAGCTAGTGAAAGTGTTCATTAATTGTTACATTGGTTGTTGTACCACTTTCCGTGCATTTAGTATTTTTACTTTTTCCTTAATTTTTTCCCCTCAAATATGTCTGAGAAGATTTTTCTTGACCTTCTGAATCTATTCTATCTGACTCATTCGTGAAAATGGGCTTGTTGGTTCTCAAAACCTTTTCTTTGTACACATGCCAATTATGTACCTACCAATTCTTCGTCGTATGTTGTCCATCTACATTTATTTTTAAAAATTCATCCATTAGATTACCCTTGCATCCATTATCCCAATTTTGGCAAAAAATTTATGATTTTATAAAACACTCGGCCTAATGATGACACGACGATGTGTATACGATGAGTATAAATAGATATGCAAGATAAAATGCGTTGAGTTCAAGCGCAAAAGAAATACAAATTGCCGGACTGACTATTCCTGACGAGAACAACAAAATTAAGCCAATTGTCTAAGAACATTGTCTAAAATAGATCAATGGTTTTCAAATCAAAAGTTAATACATTTTTATCGAAATTTGTAAACAAAAACATCAAAAGTTGAATCTTGAGAACGTGCCTTTAACAACATAGTGGTTATATTATTATGAAATGTACGTCGTTTAGCGTTTAAATCTCCGTTTAAAGCGGGGAACACACCCGATGGAAAAACGCCATGCGACGCCTTGTCACGTTTTGGTGTGCACATCTACGCGACGTCAAGCGCATGCCACGTACAGTCACAGCTGTATCACAAATCAGTATCACAATCGCAACACCTTTTTTGTTCTTAATGCACTATTTTGAGCAAAACCATGTAATAAATTGTTGGTTAAATTTAATTGTTTTAAATAAAGTTATTCCGGTGTTTTGATAAATTTTCTGCCTAACCATCATAATTAAATAATTTTATAAAAACTTACAAGTTTTGGTCTCATTTAATTTGGTTTACATTGAAATAGAAATGTTGTAGTCAATATAAAAATAAAATTACATATACATAGTTTGAAATAAACTACAAAAAATATGAGTGTCCGATTCTGACGCTACTCCATGAAAATGGTGTAATTGTATGAGCAAAACAATGTAATAAATTGTTAGTTAAACTTTATGCCCAAAACCATATAATAAATTGTTAGTTAAATTTTATGAGCAACATCATGAAATAAATTATTAGTTAAATTTTATGGGCAAAACTGAGAAATAAAACTTAATTAAATTTTATGAGCAAAACCATCCATGTCCAGATTTTCGTCGAGTAGCATCGAGTACAGCCGAAGACAAAAGAATTGGACACTCATATTTTTATTTCAAACTATATCTGGCGTTATATTAATTACAACATATTTATTTTAATATAAACCAAATTAAGCGAGATCAAAAATTCATTAGCTTTTATTTTAAAAAAATAATTTGAATGATTTGGCAGAAAACTGATCAAAACACTAGAATACCATTTATTGATAGAATGAATTTAACTAACAATTTCATTGTTTTGCTCATAAAATCACACCATTTTCGTCGAGTAGTGTCAGGACAGGGCACTCATATTTTTTGTAGTTTATTTCAAACTATGTATATGTAATTTTGTCGTTATATTAATTACAACATGCTTTTTAATCTAAATCAAATTAAACGAGATCAAAAATTCATTACTTTTTATAAAAAATATTTGATTATGATGGTTAGTAAGAAAATTTATCCAAACACCGGAATAACTTTATTTAAAACAATTAAGTTTAACAAACAACTTATTACATGGTTGTGCTCATAAAATTTAATTAACAATTTATTACAAGGTTTAGCTCAAAATAATGCATTAAGAACAAAAGGTTGCGATTGTGATACTGTTTTGTGATACAGCTGTGACTGTACATGGCATGCGCTTGACGTCGCGTAGATGTGCACACCAAAACGTGACAAGGCGTCGCACGGCGTTTTTCCATCGGGTAAGTGTGTTCCCCGCTTTAAACGGAGATTTAAACGCTAAACAACGTACATTTCATAATAATATAACCTCTATGTTGTTAAAGGCACGTTCTCAAGATTCACCTTTAGTTGTTTTTGTTTACAAATTTCGATAAAAATGTATTAACTTTTGATTTGAAAACCACTGATCATTTTTAGACAATGTTCTTAGACAATTGGCTTAATTTTGTTGTTCTCATCAGGAATAGTCAGTCCGCCAATTGGTATTTCTTTTGCGCTTGAACTCAACGCATTTTATCTTGCATATCTATTTATACTCATCACGTCGTGTCATCATTAGGCCGAGTGTTTTATAAAATCATAAATTTTGAGCCAAAATTGGGATAATGGATACAAGGGTAATCTAATGGATGAATTTTTAAAAATAAATGTAGATGAAAAGCATACGACGAAGAATTGGTAGGTACATAATTGGCATGTGTACAAAGAAAGGGTTTTGAGAACCAGCAAGACCATTTTCTTGAACGAGTCAGATAGAATAGATTCAGAAGGTCAAGAAAAACCTTCTCAGACATATTTGAGGTATTGATATTGTATATGTAATTTTGTTGTTATATTAACTACAACATTTCTATTTCAGTGTAAACCAAATTAAATGAGACCAAAAACTTGTAAGTTTTTATAAAAATTATTTAATTATGATGGTTAGGCAGAAAATTTATCGAAACACCGGAATAACTTTATTTAAAACAATTAAATTTAACCAACAATTTATTACATGGTTGTGCTCATAAAATTTAGGTAACAATTTATTAAATGGTTTCACTCCAAATAGTGAATTAAGAACAAAAGAGGTTGCGATTGTGATACTGATTTGTGATACACACCGTGACTGTACGTGGCGTGCGCTTGACGTCGCATAGATGCGCACACCAAAACGTGACAAGGCGTCGGGTAGTGTAGCGTCGCAAAGCGTTGCATCGGGTAAGTGTGTTCCCCGCTTAACTCACGCTCGGCGGCCGTTCAGATTCGAACCAAGATCATCGTTTGTACACGGTTCAAGACAAATTGAAAACGGCAAATTTTGAGTCGAACTCGGTTCAGTACTGAATTGAGTTTAAACCAAGCTGGTGCAACAGGCCCTTAGTATATTTTCAACACCGAATGAAATATAATCTGAAAAATTCTTTTCCTTAATTTTTTTTTTATTGTAGTAATCCTTACAAATGTTAAACCAATGATTAAAATCCCTTGTTCACCAATAATCAAGTCTACTCATCCCTTCAACTTCTTTCGATTGACCGTTTGGGACATTTGACCGTCTTATTCATTGTCGTCTTCGTGTAGACTCTAACGGGCGGTTATTATGAAAACAATGGTTTCATGATTTTTAGCACATAGAATACATCGTTACAAAATCTCAGCAACTTCCGTCTCAATTATCTCAATTTGTTCCATGAATTAACGTTGTGCATTTGTTCACATAACCTTGATTGGTTCAATTTGCCCCATCCCTTTGGTCACGCTAAATAACTTCAAATGGTTTTTTTGTGTTGTTCAAATTACAAAATTACTCTCGGTTAGAATTTACCTCTGTACTTCCTGCCGTTGATGGTCAGTTCAAACTGCTCCGCCCTGAAAACGAGATTCACATAAAATATAAAGTAATAATAATAGTAAATCTTTATTTCGCCATGATAAAAATACAAATATAATACAATTATTTTTCGGATTCGGAGTCGGTTAATACAGGGTGTCCTTTTTAGCCGGGTCGACTGAATTGCTCTTGAATCAAAAAAGGATAGTTATGGCAAAAAGTGTGAAAAATCGCATTTCGTTCGTTCGCTAATTCCAATAATTTGCTTCTTCGTTAAAGTAAACCGATTAAGTTTCGTGGTCCGATTGACCAATTAAATTTTTTTCAATTAATTAATCTTTAAGTAAGATATTGATCGAGATAAAAAAGCGGATTGAGCTAAAGCGAAATATACGGATTTTAGAGTAGATAAAGGTAAAACGCTTCTAACTTTTCGAAATTTGTAAAACGGTTTTCTGATTCCCTTTATCAATGTTTCAATCTGAAAATTAAAGTTTATATATTGGTCCAGTAATACACCTACGTATTTTTACCTTGAAAAAGGTAAACGTTTGCAGGAACAATTTGAAATGTTTCTGTACTAAGCCAAATTATTCGAGGTTTGTTTAAATCTAGTTTTTCTAAATTTAAAAGCAGAGAATTTTGATCAAGCCATTTTATATACACAAATTCTTTATTAATAGAGCCTTTTAACTTCCATAGCCTTCTTGCCAGCGGCTCCTTAGTGTAGGTGCAATTTTTCCTATTTGGAAGAATCTGCACCTGCATTGACCCTTAAAAAAAACATAAAATGTGTTCCGCGATCTTCTCTTCTTCCTGGCAATATCTTCACAGTGTTTCTTCTATCTGTACTCCAATCCAGTGGATGTGCCTTCTTAGGCGCAGTGCACGGTCAGGAGCCCAACCAGAACCTGGTTCTGTTGCGGTTACCCTCCAGTAATTTATTAAGTCCTTTGTAAGTCTTGGGAATGGCCCTTCTAGGAAACGTGTGCCTCATGGCTGCGATAAGGTTCCACCAGGTTTTGGACTCGGTAAGGAGCCAATTTTAGATGTGTCCTTTTTTTGTGGCAAGATGGCCACAATAGGGTTCAGGGCCCAGAGAATTCATATAGGCTCTTCTTTTGGCCAAAATGTTCTCACTGCCAGGATCAGGTGTCACTGACTACGCCCGGAATTCCATACAATTTCGCTTTGAGAAAAGAGGCTAAGGCCTTAAGTGCCGCCTGATTTCAGAGAAAATGTCTATTTTCCTGGAGTGTGTTCCTAGTTTTATATCTCTGGCGTATGGTTCAATTGGGATGATTTCAGACTGGAAAGCTGTAGCGTATTAACCCAAAGTCAGTTCGGTCTTCCCAGTCATCACGATGACTCCAGCTATCAGGTTTTGAACTCATTAAGGATCCATTTTTAGATGTGTCGTTTTTGTGGCATGGTGCTAGGCCATAATAGGGTTTGTGAACCTAGAGAATTCATATTGGCTCCTCTTTGGGTCAATATATAATTGTGCTCTTTCTCATTGCCAGGATCAGTGTCACTGACTTCCGCCCGGACTTCCATACAATTTCGCTTTTGGACTTGCGTAGAGGCTAAGGCCTTAAGTGCCGCCTGATGTCATAGAAAAAGCTGACTATTTTCCTGGAATCTGTTTATAGCGTTTTTATTTCTCTGGCGCAGAGTTCAATTGCGATGATTTCAGGCTGGAAAACTGTAGAATATTTACCTAAAATCAGTTCGGTTTTCGCATTCATCCCGCTGTCTCCAGCTACCAGGTTTTGGACTGGTTAAGGATCCATTTTTAGATGTGTCCTTTTTTTGTGGTTTGATGCTAGGAGGCCACACTAAGGTTCACGGCCTAGAGCATTCATATTGACTCCTCTTTGGGTCATATCCTCTTTCTTATTGCCAGGATCAGGTCATTGGTGTCACTGACTTCCACCCGGACTTCCTTACAATTTCGCTTTTGGCCTTACGAAGAGGCTAAAGGTAAGTACGCACTGGGATACTTTGAATCGACTCTTTGAATCTCCGGAGAGTCTTGGCTGCGTCTAGCCTGAGTCCGGGCTGCCCCGACACATTGTTGCGGGCTAGCATTTTCGGACTCTTTTGAATCCCATCTGATGTGGGATTCTTTGTCTCAATGTTGCGCAACGTGAATCGGAACAAGCGCTCTTGCTTCATTTGTTTAGAAGACGTTCTAGTGAGTGTTTTCTCGAAGATTTTGATATAAAGGCATGTTGTGGATTACCGAGTTGACTTTACAGTTTACTGAAGACATGCATTCCCAAAGGTGTTTGTGGGATGTATCATTCACAGCATGTGGCAGCTAATCTGTTGGCAGGAGAGATAGATTCCCGAAAGTTGGTATCTTTCTTGGAAATATGACCGCCAACTTTACTCAAATGGTTTCGAAATCGGTCGGCGACATCCTCAAAAAATGTCTGTACCCTGCGCCATCATTTAATCTCAACGTGTCCAAAAGATTTTTCCCGTTCTGATTCCTGCCGTGAAATATTTGTCGAACCCACAATCTTTTTGGGCGTTTTTTAATGCTTTTTATTGCTCTGGCGCAGTTTTAGACTCGTTAAGGAGCCATTTTTAGATGTGTCCTTTTTCTGTGGCATGATGCTTGGAGTCGACAATAGGGTTCACGGCCCAAAAAATCCATATTGGCTCCTCTTTGGGTCAACATGTTCTCATTCACATTGCTAGGATCAGGTCTATTTTCTGGAATCTGTTTCTAGCGTTTTCATTTCTCTGTCGCAGGGTTTAATTACGATGATTTCAGTCTGGAAAATTGTGGCGTATTTACCAAAAGTCAGTTCGGTCTTCCCAGTCATCTCGGTGACTCCAGCCAGCCTGCCTCTACCCGGTTTTGAGCCGTCAGTGCTTTAGACGGCATGATAAAAATTAGAAAATCCACCGTATTTTCTTTGGTTTTTTCCAAAATTGAATTTAGTTTTAAATAAACCTCGAACACTTTAACGTGAGATTTATTGATTATTTAAAAAAATTATGTTATTTTTTACCGAAAATATTTTGTACAAAATTTACAATTATTCGGAAATCGTGAGATGCGGTCTGGTGTGGCGTAGGTTTTAGAAAAACATTTTCTTTATCGTGCCAACGTTTCGATCTTTATTGAGATCATCTTCAGGGCTCAAAGTGTTTGTTTTCTTGAAAATGTGTCATTCTTATGTTTCGTGTTGAGAGTCACGGAAAACAAACACTTTGAGCCCTGAAGATGATTTCAATAAAGATCGAAACGTCGCGTGATAAAGAAAACGTTTTTCTAAAACCTACGTCACACCAGACCGCATCTCACGATCTCCAAATAATCATTTTCTACTAAATTAAAATCTCGTTGACGCGTTTCGCGATTATTCACCTATGTTTCTACCTATGTTTGAGCGTACACATCTTGAGCTTCGTATGTTCGTACGTAGAAGTAAAAAAAAGCGCTAAAATAAAAGCGGCTGATTCAGACAAAAATGAAAAAATACAGCCTGAGAGACTTTAAAAAAATATTAGAACTTAAGAGGGACTCACATCGTGTCTTGTCTGTGAAAGGTAGATCTGAAAAGTCTGAAAACCAACTGGCAGTAAATCCTCGAGCGCGTCGATTGAGGGGGGAAAGCAGAATGAACACAGTCAGTCCTTGGAAGCTAATAGATATCGTAATTATTCAGAAATCGTGGCACTCTCAACACGACACGCAAGAATGGCACAATTACACAGAAGACAAACACTTTGAGTTAGTAGAAATACTTTGAATGAATATAAAAAATATATTTTGCATTGTATAAATTCACTTTTCCACATCCTAAATGTATTTGTTAAATGTAAACAATGTTGGTAAATCCCAGGCCCTGAAGATGATCTCAATAAAGATCGAAACGTTGGCAAGATAAAGAAAATGTTTTTCTGAAACCTACATCACACCAGACCGCATCTCACTATTACTGAATAATTATCGATTAACGGTCACTAATCACCACACAGATATCGTAATTATTCTTTTTTTTAAGTATGATTATTTGTTAGTTCTGCTGTGCTAAATAGTTGGAGACCGCTTCCTTCACAAGGTGGCTTTTTCCTCGATCTTCTTAAGCAAGATGCACAAGATCTTGAAGATCATTTTATCTCGGTGGTAAGAACTGTCACAACCAGTTTTCTTACAAGATGCACATATTTCGAAGCAGCCGTGCTTCCTCTTCACGAAAATTTTCACGAAATTTCAGGTAGAAGATGAACCTTTTATTTAATCAGATCATTTTGGTCCGACAGACAAATACAGCAAGCATGGGCCAAAACGATTGGTAACGACCAAATTTTACATTACGGAGTTGTTACAATAAAATTTTTACTTTTAAATTTTATCTCAGCTTTACGTACGTCTTACCAGGTACATCTCTGAAGCTGTCTCTCGGCTCAACCGTCATCTTCAGTCTCTCAATCAATTATCAAGTAATAACGGCATAATTTTAAATTTTAACAAATCCCAGTCCTTATTAATTTAAAAAAAATCTTAATACAGATTTTCTATTTCGTCCTCGTATCGACTGCTCTCCTATTATTAAGTTGATGCAAAATAAATGTAGATTGTCCTTTTCGCTTCACTTTTAATACCAATTGTGAAAACAAAACTAATCCATTATCTTACAATTAATTAAGGTTTTTAGTTGAAATGAAAAAGTTAGTGTCACGAGGGGGATTCGAACCCACGATCTTCTGCTAGATACGCCGCTGCTCTGCCACTTGAGCTATCGTGACCTCGATCCACTCGGACACTAACTTCCCATCTCAACCACACCTTTTGAATTTTCCCTCCTTTTTGCCATTTTTCAATTAATCCATTATGCTGATCCATCATTTTAAAGCCTATTTATCTCGCTTTCTTTCTCTTACGATCCTTTTAGTAAAGGTTGTCCGGCGCCTTCAAACAAAATGATGTTTAAGAACGATTTTCGGCAAATTTATTTCTATCAGTTTAAACTTGGGCGAAGTGCGGCGCAAACCGCTCGAAACATTAATTACGTTGTAATTCAGATGTCGTGAGATGCGGTCGGGTGTGATGTAGGTTTCAGAAAAACATTTTCTTTATCGTGCCAACGTTTCGATCTTTTATTGAGCCCTGAAGATGATCTCAATAAAAGATCGAAACGTTGGCACGATAAAGAAAATGTTTTTCTGAAACCTACATCACACCCGACCGCATCTCACGACATCTGAATTACTATCGATTAACGGTCACTAATCTCTACACATTAATTACATTTGTGGACAAGGAACCATAAATGAATCCACAGTTGGTTTCATAAATTCCGTAATGAAGATTATGACCTCACGAGGAAAGAGTCATTCTGCTGTTGACAACTACCCGTTAAAGGCTGTAGTTGAAGCTGACCCCACAGAAATCTCGGAAGAACTTGGTATTGACCAATCCACCATCGTTCGCCGTCTGGAAGGTGGAAACTATTGAGAAAAAAAAGAAGTTCGCCAAGTAGGCTGAACGTCCGCCAAAAGGATCTCATGTATAAACTCTGGTCAATGCTTTCCGTACGCCACAAAAATGATTCATTTCTCAATCCTATACGTGTGACGAAAAATGTATATACGACAATACACAGCGTTCTAGACAGTGGATAAGAGTGAAAAACCAGAGCACTTCCCAAAGTCAAGCTTACAACCAAAAAAATTATGGTCACTGTCTGGTGGGTGTGGGGCTACACTGCTTCAAGAGCACGTGGCGAGAGGACTTGAAAAGTTAAGCGGGTAGAAGAGAGTGCGTTTGATTTTGTGTATCGTTTAAATAAATTAATTGTACAAATCAGTAGTGAGTGGTTACTCAAATCGCCTAAACTCCTACATTGTTGACCCCGACGTTAAAGTCAGCCTTCATGGCTCACAACTCAGAAAATTGGACTACCGTCTTACCTACGGTTTTATTGGGACTGCGATGTTCATTCAATGATGAAGTACAAGCGTCCATTGCGGAACTAGTATACCGTACTCCATTACGTATTCCTGGCGATTTTTTTGAAGAGCACTTTTCTCAACCAAACTCAGATCTTCGTACTTCTTAGCCTAGTCAGCCAATTATGCTTTGCATCCAATAATCTTAAACCAAGGCAACCAGAGCACACACAACAGCCGAAAACCTTTATATACAAGGACCTCCATAGCAGTTCTCATGTCTTCGTCCGAGTAGATCGTATACGAGCTTCCTTGAATAGACCATATCCTGTCTTGGAAAGGCACTCTAAATTCTTCAAGGTGGAAGTAAAAGGAAGAAGACTAATATTTCGGTAGATAGGCTTAGACCTGCATATATATTAGCCGACCCTGGGAATCCACATAAACGACCCAACTGCACCGACAAAAACACCAATTGATGAAGAATCTACATCATTATCAGCAAGTAGAAGATCAGGACGCTGTACCCAGTTCGTAAGCTGACCTGGCCGCTAAGAGGGGAGTGATGTGGGGCAACACTGGTTCAAGAGCACGTGTCGAGAGGACTGGAAAAGTTAAGCGGGTAGAAGAGAGGACGTTTGATCTTGTGTATCGTATAAATAAATAGTTGTAAAAATCCGTAGTGCGTGGTTACTCAAATCGCTAAACCCCTACATGGTCATCTGAACGATTTCTTCATTAGAGCTTCCTCAGTCCGGGTGAAACCATCACTGTTGAAAAGCACTGTGTGGTGGCCACCTGCTTTACCACAGTACCCGCTAGGTGTCACTACCAGTTCTGGAATGGTTTCGCCCTCCACTCTGCAACCAATCAAAGTAGAGCCATTTCGTATATGGCCACTGCCCCACTGACTTCAAACTCCTCAATACCTATCAACTTTTTTCCAGATTCCTTAATCACACGCTCAAATCAAGAGTCAAGCCTCAAGACTTCTCAACTCTCTAAAACTTTAGCCTTATCCTTCAGAATTGCAGGACTATGAAGTTTGCTATCTCGGGCAGTATGTTCTGCTTCTTTTTTCTTTTTTTTTTGCGTGTTTTCAGATCCATGGCATCTGAGTTTTTAAAAACAACATGTATCATCTCATTTTCTTTTCCTCGTTTCGTTTTAACTTTTTTTCCATTCAGCTTTTCTTTCTTAATGTGGTTTCATCATTTGATCGATTGTAAATAATTTATATTGCAAAGAATATATAGCCATTACTGTTTGGTATATTTTTATTTGTATCATATATTATTTATTTTTAAGATAAGTCCATGTAACAGAGACTTTTTTGAACCTTTAAAATAAATAAATGAAATAGCATTTCAACTCATTCACTCATTCTGATTGAAAGCTTAAGCTACCAACACCAGAAAAGGAAAAAAATAACTGTCAACAGAAATAACCGTCCCCACGACTGACCAATGAGCACTATGCCCACTAACGAACACCCCCAGCGACAAGCGACGGAACAATTCTATGTACACCCTGCTCTGTCAAAGTGACATAAGGTTCCTCACTGAAGATGGCGCAATGTTGAAACGCGTTTGAATAACTCAAAAACCTGTGAGTAAGTGACCCCGTGACTGCAAAAAGTGATAAGCTCAATTCTGTATACACATGCAGATTTGAACTTATATAAATCCAAATCCAAAACCAAAATAAGAAAAGTTAGAGTCCTAAGCAAAAAAAAAAAAACTTTTAAAAAATATGGCAACATAACTGAGGCCATTCAACATGTATTCAAAGCTCAAATTCTCAAAGCCATCAAATACAGCGTTTCTTCTCAGCAAGACAGAGGAGTGCTTTTTGCACTTTCTACAAATTATTTAATTAGCTATCCGTTAGAAAAATTATTGTCACAAGCGGTATTCAAACCCACGTCTCCAACGAAGAGGCAAACCTTTGTCACATCAATATAGTCCTGAATTTTAAAAGCTTTAGAAGAAAAAAGAAATTTATTACAGATCGGGAACTTATCCATGAAATCTTACTGCTACAAACCATACAATTTAAAACTCCAAAAGGCCTAGAATGTAAAAAGACCATTGTGCCAAACACTGGTAAATTCAAGAATATACTTTGTGCTACATCAGTGGTGATGCAGGCTTATTTCTGTTGACAGTTATTTTTTTCCTTTTCTGGTGTTGGTAGCTTAAGCTTTCAATCAGAATGAGTGAATGAGTTGAAATGCTATTTCATTTATTTATTTTAAAGGTTCAAAAAAGTCTCCCTTACGTGGACTTATCTTAAAAATAAATAATATATGATACAAATAAAAATATACCAAACAGTAGCCTGCACAGAGCTCAACCGACTCAAATTCTAATCCCGATGACCAATTTCTTACTAAATTTGTAATCTCTGAATCCGAAGAAGAAAACCCACGACAAGTTAGAAAATTGGAGGAAAAAATTATCAAAGCATCCAAGCCATCATTAAATGATCCCGAATATATTTTTAATTTCTTGTGTGCATTTTATCCTCTTTTGACTCATTGTAGGTTAACTTCGAATTTTTTTTAAATCTGAAAATAGCCATAGATCCATACTCCTTACTATATGACGCCACACGAAGAAAAGATATAAACTTTTATTTTATTAAACTATTTATTTATTTTAAAGGTACAAAAGGGCTTTAAGCCTTTTTACAATTACAAAATTTAGGTTTAGGTTTCATGTGTCAGGTAGCTGAAGCTTGTGGGTTCGAATCCCGCTCATGACATCAATTTTTCTTCTCAACCTTCTTCGCATAAAAATTGGAAATAATAACTTTCTACAAATGTTATATTGTATTGTTCTAAACCGTTTTAAGGTGTCAATAAATCTCACAAATAGAATAAAGAAAATTTAGTTATTTTAATTCTTTTATTAGGTATAATAAGATAAATAATATGTATATACATTCTAAGACTTGTTTTTGTTTTGTTTTTTGAACAGCTCACAGAGTTAAACAAAATCTTTTCCATTATCTAGCTCAGTATACATTAATCCTATTTATTTATTTTTTTTGTTAAATTGTAAATAACATAAATATTAGTTTTAATGTACAGTGTTTACAAAATTGAGTATATCATACAATATAATACAAATAAATAATACTAAATAGTTATATTTACAGCAGTAATATTGTTCTGACTGCAAAGCCACAAATCCAGGTAACTAACTGAAAGTTTACAAAAGTTTCTAGAAAATAATTAATTACAAAGTTAAATTTAACAAAGTTATTATTTAGGATTACAAAATATGGAAGTAAAGCTTTTTTTTCTCAATACTCATCGAGCGTCATGATACAAATTAAATCGCAAATAAATTAAAACTTATTATACCAATTATTTACATATAAAGACTTGTAGAATTTTAAAATCTACACTATTTCCGCAATAAGTCTTAGTAACAATAGGCACAGACAATTTGTTTTCGACTAGTTGATATACAATCTATCTTTGAAGACCATGCCTATTTATATGAAACAAAGCAAGTTTTATTTTAAAAATTCATACTAAAAGCGCCTAATTTTGTATTGGATTTTTTTTTTACCCCAGGTGTGTTTCATTTTAGAAAAAAAAATGTATCGGTGAGGTCCTAAAAGCTGAATCACTCAGCCAACTGTGTTAAAGTTGTTTTGTGTGTCTGCTGTAAAAGATTGTTTCGTCGTTTGTTTTTCCACTGAGGGCCGCCGTGCCTCCTTCTCCACTCCCTGAAAAAGGAACAAATTAATAACAATTATCTCGTATTTAGTCTGGTTTGAAAGAGAGAGAGAAAAAAGGAATATATATGTAATGTCCTGTTGTCATGATGATGGCAGGTGATTGTACTGGTCACATATCCGATATCAAGGAGGCAGTGTCAGACATGATATGAAGTATGAACATTATCAGACTTGATATTTTAATGTAACAACTTATAAAATTGAATCAATAAAATATAAACATAATATTGTATATTGTAAAACTAATTCTGTAATAAATTAATATTTTCAGGACATATATTTATTTTGTTTTTATATAAATTCAGTAACATTATATATATATAGCCGAAGGTTGTGGGTTCAAGTCCCGCTTGTGACACTGACTTTTTCATTTCAACCATAAACCTTACACAAAAAGATTAATTAATTGAAAGAAGTTATTTGGTCAGTCAGACCACTAAATATAATGGATTTAATTATATATATTGCAGAATGAAAACAGTGTGACTGTGTTTAATTTTACAAGGCAATTTTTTAATTTTAAAAAGTTGAAATGATAATCTTAAATCTCATGATTATTACTCATCCTAGGGTGTTCACACTGTTTGCCTTCGTTCAATTCTATAAAGTGAACAATAATAAAAAAGTCGACATCAGAAGAGTGGTGGTTGACATAAATTGGCAAACAGGAAGAGCTTACTTAAGCATGCCAGAGATGATCTAACACCGTTCAAACTATTAGGGATATCTGTGACATAACAATTTCTAATAATGTATTTTTAAAAAGAAATGCCCTTACCTATTCATAGATTTGTTTCTGAATACATTTCGCTGTGATTGCTTGACTAGACGTGAGAAGCTGTGTGGGTAAAAGCTGGGAACTATAAGCGAAAGCCATAGATAAGCACAAGAAAAAAAAATAAAAACAAGAATTAATTTAAATGAAATTTAGAGTCTGAAGAAAAGTACACATGTGTGCTGCAGTATGTTTTTTATAAGATTATGATGGGAAAAGCGAGTTAATATCGGAGCTGGTAGGTGGCATGCATTAAAAATTATAAGAAAATAATTGGTCACCTAGTCCTAAAGTGGAGTACTTTCTCCTTTTTGTCGGTTTTGGCAGCATGGAGGGAATGTTCGACGGCTGGGCAGAGCCGACTGTACAATCTCTTGTGCCACGACAGCTCTTCATGTGCTGAAGCTGGTCATGGAGGTAGGATCTCTCTTCTGGAGTCAGGTTATTTACACGGTTCCATTGTTCAAATGGATCTAAAATTAACATTTCAAGTATAAACTATACAATATTCACTCATAATTCCATCAAATTTGAGTAATATTTTAAGTTTTTTTTTTTTTTTTTAATTTTGATGCCAATGATGTTCTTACCGATTCTTAAGTTGTAATAGGTTATTAACCCAGTGACAAATTCACAATATAAGAAATTGTGTGTAGCATTTATTGTTCTTAAGCATGAATAAGTATTATTATTCGCATTCATGCAGAAACAAAATGGCCCCTCTGAAAAAAAAAAAAAATTATTTCTTATAAAGCTGCATATTGGGATGAAATATGTGGTGTTTAGTGACCATTGGTTAATGATTATTCGGAGATCGTGAGATGTGGTCTGGTGTGACGTAGGTTTTAGAAAAATATTTTCTTTATCGCACCAACGTTTCAATCTTTACTGAGATCATCTTCAGTGTAGAAGTGTAATTCACACAGAAAACAAATCCCTGAAGATGATCTCAATAAAGATCGAAACGTTGGCACGATAAAGAAAATGTTTTCTTAAAACCTACCTCACACCAGACCTCATCTCACGATCTCCAAATAATCATTAGAATAAAAGTTATTCACCAGTCCAAAATGGAGGAGTTTTCCAATGTTCGTTGTCGTGGTTGAAGCAGTTCATTTTCTCAGACAAGCATTCACTCTCGAGTTTCGCTTTTCTCCTCATTTTCCTTTCTTTTTTCCTTAACCTTTCTTCTTTGATCCTCCTTCTGTCTTCCCTCGCTGCGTCCTTTTCGGCTTTGTACGGAGGCCTAATTAATCAATTTTAAACTTAAAATGATGATTATATTTAAAAAATGCATTCTCACTTACAACTCAGGCTCGCAGTAGCATGTATCAGGAACATAGATTAACGGATGCTTCGGTTTCGACATTCCATTCGTACGCATTCCAAAATCGAAATCGTCATTCCTCGAAAACTGCAATTTAACAACATTAAACAACAAAATAAACAATAATTTTAATAAAACGTACCCCTTTGTTATTCGGTTTAAAAAAATTATCCTCTTGATCTCGAGAATTTCCAGGGACGTACAAAATTGGATTTTCAGTGAATGGATGCAATGTGTGATGGTGGCGGTGTTTGTTTTTTGGTTTCTGGCCAGAATCAGGCGCAACTGTCACTTGGATTGAAGGAGGGTTGACTTCTGCCATTCCAGTGTTATTTTCATTTTTCTCTTTAGTCATATTGTCTTCATCCTCTTCTAAACTGTGATCATAGGGCGCTTGGTGAGGTCTCTTTTCCCTCAGATGTTTTCTTATTCCCTATTTTATTTTAATGCAATTTAATAAATACAAATAGTAAGAATAAAAATAAGAACCTTTAATTTATCCAGTTGTAACTTGAGTAATTTAATCTGCTCTTCCAAATGATCTCTGCTCGCCTTCCACGCTTTTGGATCTTGGTAAATTGCATCGCTGCATGATATTTCCCCTTCTGGACTAACGGTGCAGTTTCCTTCATTCGTCATTTTCATTGTATTTTCACCCGTTTCCTATAAAAAATTCATTTTAGGAAAAAACTTTTAAAAAAATAAAAAATTATTACTTTTAAAATGTGAATTTTATCTTCTAGAACTCCCATTATGGATGTCACTTGTGAATCGATAGCTTCTGAAGTCGACCTTTTCATCCTGTTTGTTGATGGGACGCTGATTTTTTCCATCACGCTTGTTATCACTTTATCGATATCCTTTTCCATGAAGATGTCAGACAGGACGTCCATAGAATCGTCTTCCACTGCTTCCTTTTTGCCATCCGTTTTAACTAAGGTCAACTTGTGGTCTTTTGTGTTCACTTCAAATCTAAAATCCATTCTTGGTTTATCTGATTCTTTGTATTCAGTAGAACTAACCGATCTTTTTCTTGTTCTCGTTTTAAAATACTTTGGCCTCGCATCTCTATAGAAAGAAAACAAAATCGGAATGCTATGACTCGTCAATCGTAGACAGAAAAAATTACCTTATGTGAGGCTTTTGAAATCTAGAGTCATCGAGTTCCACCCTCGTGTAAAGAGTACCCATAGGTGTGAAACATGCGCATTTTTTTCCTCTTGTCGGCAAGTAGTGATTCACTCGCATCTTGCATTTGTGTTTTCTCCACCTGCAAAATATCATCATTAGTTAATAAATAATTAAGTACAGCAACTATCACAAAACAGACCTGTTTCCTTCAGATAAGCAATACCACTTCTGTCCGGGTCGGCATGGCGCCTGAAGTTCAGCCCGTTGGCACTCGATTGCCAATCGTTCCATCTTGCTAATGCTCAGAACGGGTAATATGTTATCAAGTTGTCCATCACCATTGACATCTGGAACTAAATGAAATGATTATGTTCGATGCAAAATTTAAAAAAATCCCAATGAAATAAATACCTCCAGAAGGGAGTTTGATAGAAACATTCTCTTCAATAAAATCTTTTTTTGTCTCGTTACCTTCAGAAGTGGAGTTGTTTTTATCTAAAATGTAATTTAAGAAAATAAAAATGGAAAATTTCAATGCAAACAAGCAAAGCATACATACGATCAGAATTTTGTAGCAAAGTTTGGTTCAAGTCCTTTTCAATTTTCGCAATCGATTCTCTCAATTTTGCCTCAGCGAGCATAGAATCTATGGTATCTCTCCTCCCACTACTGCAAAACAAAACAATTTAGCATAATTTAAATTGATAACTGCATAACAACCAACCTTTCAATAAGAAAAGTATCAGGCCATTTTGTTGGATATCTCATCCTCGGTTTATGCCTACGGTTCAAGAGTTTCAGGAAAGACCGGCCGTCCATGTGCGGTGGGGTGTCCACGCCGGCGATGTCAAGGAATGTCGGTGCCAAGTCGATGTTCAGCACTAACTCATCTATACTTTAATTACATCACAATTCAATTATTTCGTATAAAAACAAATTATACATATAATTTTTTTTTAAATCGTTTCAAACATACATTGTTCCAGGCTCGATCCCAGGCCCTCTGACTAGGAAAGGTACTCGAACGTCAAATTCAAAAGGGAACGACTTGCCCTTGACTAGACCGAATTGTCCCAGATGGTAACCATGATCGGACGTGTATATAATGTAAGTGTTATCCAGTTCTCCAAGTGTCTTAAGCTCCTGGTAGACCTGAATAGTTTTTCAATCATTAACTGAATCACTGGTTCAACTCTATTTTTTTTTTTTTTAACAAAATTCTAAAAGAAATTAGAACTGTAACAATGCACATTATGTACTAAAACAACAACATACAAAAATTATGAATTACTGACTGAAAATAACAATATGCGCATTGGCTACAATTTCATACTATAAACTTTTATTTGTTCAAAAATATTATGTATAATATTAAAAAATAAAAAACAATACCTTATCTACCGCATCATCTACACTCTGTAGAGTTTGAAGCCTCTTCGTCATAAGTAGGTTGGTAAACTGTCTGTGAATCGGCTGCATCTGACCCGTCACCTGGAGAATCCACTGTTTATCAGGGTTGGGCGCATAATCGTAGGACGGTGTGCTGCAATAAACAAATTTTGTAACATTAACACTGTTAATCCATGTATGTTTAGCAGCCATAATTGACCATATTAATTATTATTTTTATATAAGGTCTTGGTTGGGATGAAAAAGTTAGTGTCACAATGGTAGAAGACTTCGGTCTTTCAAGCAGATGCCATCAAGCTTGTTCCCTGGGAAATCTTAAAAGAGGTTACAATGGCAAAAAAATCCTCATAAGATTAAAACCATTAAAGCATTAGCATGTAAAAGAATCACATCAAATTTAATCAGTGAATGCATCCAAAATCTCCAAAACATGGAGAAATACAACAACCCGGTGATGTCTTGGGTGCCAGGGCATAGGGGAATTTTGGGTAACGAGAAAGCAGACTGACCAGAGGAGGATCCGCAAGACCATACATAGGCCCCCAAACCTATACTTCGGATAACAAAAACAAATATAAAATCCTCCATCGCAGAATGGATTCAAACAAAACAAAAGGTGAAGTGGATAACCTCTAGTAGTGCTAGACACAGTAAACTTATGATGAAACAACCCTCACCAAGGCTGGCTAAATCACTGCTGCAACTGGAGAGGGCTAAACTCAGAGGAGTGATAAGACTACTAACCGGTCACTGGCATCTGAGAAAACATCTACACAACATGGGCAAATACAACGATGATCCCATCTGCAGATTATGTAATGAGAAGGAGGAAACAGCCACCCATATCATCTTCGAATGCGAAGCAACAGCTCAATGGAGATTTAACCTACCATACAGAAAAAAACTTAGGGAATCAAATTGCAGCAGCGACAGTCGACCTAATACTTCTAAGGGAAGAATTGAGTCTATTGCACTGAACTAAGGAACTAGGAAGGTTCAATACGCCGCTGCAGTGCCTGGGGTGATCCTTATCACCATACCATATATACCGTTATCCATTGCGCAGTGGCTTTGAAACCACAGGCGCTCCAGGGTCTGATGATCTGATGATTGAAAAAACGAGAATGGGGACCCTTGGCAGAAGTACAACAATATCATCGGACACCCATAGCACAAGTACCACAGGTAAGCATTTCTCAGCGGACAGTTTTGTCCACTCCCTGATAGCGTCACCGTATTTTTCCAGGTAACAATTCCATCCACCATTGTGCTGAAACAGTAATTTTGTCTGGGAATATACATAGCGCAGTGTATAAAAAATGATGGTCTTTGCCTAGGATTAGCCGCGTCATAGGCGTGAAGGTCAGGCGAAGTTGGTGGTAAGTTAGTAAAAATTCAACACGAGTTTCGCAAGTTGCTAAAAAAGAAGTATAAAGGCCAGAATAAGAAACAATTAAGATGGTGACATTTTGTGAGGTTATCAAAGTATAAAAGATTTCTATAAAACATTCTTGCAAATGAGCAGTTTGATATACTCGGTTTGGCGTTATCAGAAGTAAGTCTATCACTTTTATCTGATGATGTATTAGCAATGAGTAAATGAGACGGTACAGAAGAAAAAGTAATAAGGAGCTAGAACTGACGAATGGCAAACGTTTAGTTGGAGTTCGCCCGACAATAAGATAATTGTCGTTATAATGAGGATGTCAGCAAAATGTTCTAGACGACAGAAATGACCCGTTTTCCGTCTTTTTTCTGTCCAGCGTCTACCGTCTAGCCCCGTTGATAGCTTTTATCGGACGAACGGTCCAGACAGGAAGAGAGGTCGTATGAAGAACACTGGAAACCGGTCCTTTCCTCAGGAGTTGGAGCTCGTAGGCCCCCTTCTCTCCTTACACCTCCGTCTGGCTGCGGTTTCGCAAATCTCCGGCCGTCGGGACTTCTTAAGAATGGGCTCCATTCCCGTCATAACAGCCCTCGATGCTCTGGAATTCTCCAGTTTCTATCAAAAGTGTGTGAAAAGTCCTTGGACGATTCGTCCTTTTGTACCGTGTACCATGTCTTCTTTACGTACAAAGATTTTTTTTTGCGAATCGAATGCTGGCTTGTAGCTGAGAGTTGATGCATAAATAAAGTTTTAACGATAAGGAAGATTTTTTTTACTTCATTAATTTTATCTACAACTATATATGGATTGTACGCAACCAGCACATTGGATTTCAATTTATGTTAATGGCATTACGGGCGTTATAGAGAAAGCTACCCATTGGCAGACGGTCTGGATTAATAAAATGATAATCATTTAAGAGGTCCCTTATCCATATTCTTTTCAGACGTTTACGTGGTGATTGTGGGGATTGGAGTAATCGTATTTGTGTATTAGTGTGATTTTGTAATTTACTATGAAAACGCCTGTAAAATGTTTTGATGGATGAAAACACTGTTAGCATGTGAAGATCTCTGCAAAATGTTTTATTGTTTATGGAAAAAGGAGCAGAAAAAATTAGTCTTAAAATTTTAAATTGAAAACTTTGTAATTGAATATTTGGCTGATCCATTTGTTGCACCGTACATCCAACTAGGTTTGAGTAGGTATATCAAAAGTTTTGAATTTAATGATAATTTTGATTGTCGGTTGAGTAGGTAATGAAGCAATTTAAATCGTTTGTTGAGTGTATTTTTAATTGAGTGTATGGATTCCAAGTTAGTCATCTATCAAAGGTAAGTCCGTAATAGTTAATTTTGTCGGATTGATGAACAGGTTCATCGTACAAGCTAGGACAAGTCTAAAGACGGAGTGTAAAGGTTGTGACTTTGAGGGGTTAAACTTCATTTTCCAAAGATTGGTCCATTTTTCAATTGTTGATATATGGTTTTGAGGCATAAGTGAACATTGTATAGAAAAGGGATGACTTGTTAATTCATCTGCGTAAGTGGCGGTATGTGCTCATTTGTGGGCATATCAGAAGTAAAATCAGAACAACAGCGGAGCTGGTATTGACCCTTGTGACACTACCCATTACCCAGGCAAAGTCCGATCATCAACTCTGGTGCCCGGGGGTAAACAATGATGGAGGTAATTCCCCCAACTTACCATCCTATACCCTATCCTCTCCTTATTTTCCTTTTCCTTCCCCCCCCCCGCTTTGGCAGAGGCTTCCTGGGTTACTGAACCCGCACCCCTCAGGCAACAGGTGCATCAGTAGAGGTTTTCGTATGAACTCGATCAATCCTACCTTAAAAATAATGTGTAGAGATTAGTGGCCGTTAATCGATAGTTATTCAGATATCGTGAGATGCGGTCGGGTGTGATGTAGGTTTCAGAAAAACATTTTCTTTATCGTGCCAACGTTTCGATCTTTTATTGAGATCATCTTCAGGGCTCAATAAAAGATCGAAACGTTGGCACGATAAAGAAAATGTTTTGCTGAAACCTACATCACACCCGACCGCATCTCACGATATCTGAATAACTTAAAAATAATACTGAACCATAGGAGTAGAGCGTCCAAGCGACTCTACAAAATGAGGTTGGACACGTGGTGGTCGTGGTTTGCAAACAAATTGTACCTTAGCTGGAGGTACCGGCCAACCGGAGCCTTCTCTACCACTCCGGGGGTGGTAAAAGGTACGGCTCAAAGAAACCACAAAACTGCCTTTTTCAAGGCACATGTATGGATTTGTCCTTTTCAGGGCACTTCTAATCTTGACTAGCATGGCACCACCTTGCCAAGGGATGTGACAAGTCCAAGCATGTAAAATCTTGCTGGTTCTCTTAAAGAGAACACTGGCCGTCTGAGAAGTCCCCTCGGGGATAAGTCCGGAGGTTAAAGATCCTCATGGGTCTCAACAGCCATGTGTAAGGAGGGTAACATCCGACCCTTGTGGCACACCAACAAGCACTTCTTCCATCTCAGCAGTCTCCGTACTCTGATTTACTGCGAAAAATCTCTCCTTAAGGTGTGATGGAATAATCACATAATAGCCCTGCGGTACAAATAATTTTAATTTGTATAATAATCCCTTATGCCACACATTGTCGAAAGCCTGCCTCTTGGAATACTCCATTCGCGTGCAGTTTCTGCTCGAGACCGAACGTAATAGAATGTTACTCTGTGAAGTTGACGAGTAATGGAGTGATAGGTTCGAAAGCCAAATAGATGGTCTGGTAAGATGGTGTTTGAAGTAACAAAGAGATAATTATTTTGAAAATTAATTTTTCGAATAATTTCGAAGGAATGGGTAACAAACTAGGACGATAGGATGACGGGGAGCTTAAATTTTTATGGGGCTTTGGATTCATTTTAATGTAAGAATCTTTCCATTAATTGGGAAAGTTCTCAAAATTGCATTAAATAAAGAAGAAGTTTATTTGGGAAGTTCTTGAAGTTATCCAATCATGACCAGGTGATTTTTCTTAGGAAACTGTCGTATTTCTTGTGATACTTGTTTTGGAGTTATTGGTTTAGGTGTCTAAAGGTATAGCTGTTATCTGTGAATTAGTGAATCTGATATAAATTTTTCGTGTTCACTATCGATTAAGTTATGAGGTTTGAATACCTCGGAGAGATGTTTCGCAAATGAGACTTTTTTTACTGGAAACGATCCAAGTTTTCCTTACTTCGTGAGAGGAGTTGAGATAACGCTCTGAGGCAGGATAAGTTTAGTACTTCGCCACAGGTTCCAATCCTCTGTTGGCAAGGTTTTTAAATGTGTTTGGTATGAGTAAGGAAGATTAAATCAAACTTTATCGGTTCGTTCTAGCATTCTGACTTTCTATCTTCAGCCTATAGTTGTTTCTGCTTTTCAGATTTTTTTTATCATTCTGCTGCAAATCTGAGAATAGATCGGATGTTTCCATTTTGGCATCATAGATCGAAAATCCCTGTTGATACCGTTTATTTTCGAACGGTGAACGGTCCGCCCTGCGCCGGCAACACCGCAGGACTTTTTTGTCCCACAGCGCGGAAGGATCGTTTCCTGTGAATTACCTTTGACGGTTATCGGGGATCTCGATTCGATCTGTGCGGACAGGCCCGGGCTCGGTCTGCACCCTCATTAACACCCCGACACCTTTTTTGTTCTGCCGGTACGCTTTCATCCGGTCAAACTTTCATACTTGTCGAGGGCGGA